GCACTCGTCCAGCCCCCTCCGCCGGCCTCGTCGCGGTCTGGAAACATTTCCTGCCCCCGCCCCCACCCCCAGCTTCCCGGTGGGAGCGAGTTGGCCTCGCAGCCAGGTCAGCGCTCGCAGTTACCCCAACTCGCTTCTCAGCCAACCCTCGCCGAGAAGCTCCCCGTCTGGCTCCGAAAAACCAAGGGGGAACCTAGGCGCCGAGAGCCGAGCCAGGTCGTTCGGGAACCCCAGTGTTCGGGCAAGACAGGGGCTAACTGGCGACGCGTCGGGATCCTGCTGCCTTTCGTTACCTGCTCGCTTGCGGGGGTGTCCCGGAGCAGCCGGCCTCTCCCGGCGCTGTCTCCCCACGCAGTTGCCCATGCTGGCTTCTCAGCCGGTCCCCATGCACCGGAGACGGAGGACGGCCGGCTACTCCTCGCTGCTGCCCCGAACCGCCGCGTCCCCGGGTCAACGGCTCCCGCAGCCCGACATCGAGAGCTCCTGGATCTCCCCTGGGGCGCGCGCTGCCCAACGCCGGCTTCGCCACAAACTTTGCGGGCCAGGGGAGAGGGAGGTGGCCAGGCCAGGGGGGCCCGCGACAGTGCCCGACCAGAGACCAGTCGACTGGAGGGGCGGAGGGAGGGGGCGGACACCGCCGCAGCTACTCCTGGCTCGCTCGCGGCTCCCAGCTGGGGCCGGCCCCCCGGAGTCTGTCAGTCACCTACCTAACCCCGCCCCTGCCCAGCCCCGTTCCCTTCCTCCCTCTCGGGATGCCGGTGCCTCCGCCGCCGGCCGTCCCAGGTGCGCATGTGACCTGACGGCACCGCCTCTCGGGCCGGGCCTGGTTTTCTCATTGGCTTCCCCCTGGGTGCGTACCGCCCCTCGGCCCCACCCAGCCAGGTGCCCGCCCTGCCGTCTGTCTCCCCGGGAGAGCGGCCGGGAATTGTGCGCCCTCAACCGCCCCGGCTGCGTGCCCAGCAGACGCTTCCCTTCCTCGTGCCGCGCCCCGGCACAGGCCCCGCCCTCTTGGGGGAGGAGCCGTTAGGTCCCTCAAGGAACCGCCAGGCTCAGAACCGGCAGGCACGTGACCTGGGAGCGGTCCGCCCTCCCCTAGGCCTGCGCCCAACTATTGGCTGTGGAGGCGCGTGCGCGGAGCGGCTCGTCTCGTGGCAACACCTACTTCCCTCCCACAGTTTCTGGCTCGCGTCATGGCTGCCGCCACCGCGCTGGAGGAGGTGGCGGCGCCCGTGGGCGCCCTGTGTGGCCTCGTGCAAGACTTCGTCATGGGCCAGCAGGAGGGGCCCGCTGACCAGGTGGCTGCAGGTATGGCAAGCCGCGCCGCGAGGCTTCTGCAGGGGCCGGGCCGGAGGGAGCGGCCTCTGCCCCGGCGCGCGGCGGGAAGGGAGTGAAGGGAGAGGTGATTGTGATTGGTCCTCTGGTTGCTCGGCCCGCAGCGCGAGCGCTACAGCTGAACAAGTTGGAGAGTCGCTTGCGTCTTCCTTAAAGCTTGCTTTGCATTCCGCATCTCGCTGTAGTCCATAGAACATCATTACATTTCTCCAACAACGACCTCATCCCCCCCCCCCCCAAGGCCCAGCGAGAGCCGGAGGACTCGCGTAGGGCGCAGTTCTAGCCCGGAAGTGGAGCTGGGACTTGGACTCGCGTGTTCAGGTCCAAACCAAGTGCTCGCACTGCGGGATCGCGTTTTTGGAGGGTTAACGCGAGGAGGTGCGGGTCCGAAGGGTTACGCCCCAGTTGCTTGCCATCCTGAAAGTAGTGCGCCTCAGCTCTCTTGGGGGGTTGTAATTAGAGGGAGGAGGAGAGGAGCCAGTTTAGGTCTGAGACGGTGGGCGTGTAGATGAATGGTGTTCTATTAAGGCTTCACTTAGTGTCTTAGTGGGGGTTTTGATAACTTTTTGTAATAACTCATTTGTTATCTTCCCAGAGTTCCAGTTTTAGGAATCTAAGAGTTCTGAGTTTATTTAGGATTTGAACAAATAAAATTCCAGGAGGCCTCCTTGGAATTCTTTCCGAATGTTGAATGTTAGGATGCCTTCAGAGTCAGATTTAAGAAATAGAATACAAAATGGATATAGCTGTGGGTTTTCTTAAATTACTTTTGGACGTTTTGTGTGTTTGGGAGAAGAAGAAGTTTGTTCTGCAAATTGAGCAGATTAACTTTTATAATATATGAGAAATGAACTTAGGCTAGAAAAATATGATGTTCCTTAGCAATGTTCCTCTTTCGTTCTGCCATTCTGTTATTACTGAGTACGTATTTTTCACCCAGCATGAAAAGGATTGGGAACAAAAATAGAAATTTAGTTCTTTCTATGGACCCAAAGAGATTCTAATACAGTGAAAGAGACAACTGTGTGGTGAGAAGGAAGTGTATGGTGGTTGGTAAGCATTAAGGGGCAAAAATGTCTGCTACTGGCTGTGCTTGGTGCTTCGTGTCTTTAGTTCCAGAATTTGGCAGGAGGATGGCAAGTTTGATAGTGATTTCTAGGCCAACCTTGGCTACCATGTGAAACCCTATCTCAGAAACCAAAACAAAAACCTGCTAATGCTTAAGCTTATAGTTGACAGTTGTGATGTCTTCCCAGAGTATGATGTACTTTCTCCAGCCTAGTTAGTCTGTGTTCATACCAAACACATCAGCCTTGGAAGCAGCAGCTCTTTTATAAGTTACAAATGCAGGACTGACTGCCAACTTTGTTTTGCACCTGGTGGTTTCTGGTGGAAATAGTTGTCAGTTCCCAAGAACAGGCAAGTACAGGAAAGGAAATGACTTGACAGCCCAGGAATAAGACCTCTGAAATAGGCATTCAAAGACAGCCAGTACTTGGTCCCAGCCCTTATTCTTACCGTTGACCTCTTGGACCCTTAGTTCTGGGCACCAACCTCTGTTCTCTGATTCCTGAATGTTTTCCTTCCCTTAACTAATCCAAATTAAACTTCATACTCAAGACCCAGTTCAAATGCTGTTCCCCCATATTATCCTGGCCAGACAACATGTCACTTCAGACTCTAATAGACTTCTCACCCACTCATGCACTCACTAGCAGATTTGTTTCACAGGTATGTCTGTATACATAACCACATCTGACCCTCCCGTTTTTACCCAGTCTCATGGAACAAAAGTAGACACATCATAAAACTGCTTAGGGGCCAGTGAGGTGCTCAGTGAGTAAAGGTTGCTTGATACCTTGAGTTCCATTCTCTGGATACATGGTGTAAAGAGAACTTATTCTCAAAGTTGTCCTCTGACTACCACATGCACACACACACAAGGTGTAAAGAGAAAAGATGCTAGAAGAATCTTTGGAATTTGGGGCCCAATTAACTGTAAGACTCAAAAGGAAATGAAAAGGCTACCCTAGATGAACCCAGAGTTTTGAGCCTGGGGGCCAGGAAATAAAAGTAACTATTCAAAAACAGGCAGGGAAGGGAGCTGATTTTAGATGGAGTGGTTTTTGGACATTTTTAGACAATGGATAAACTTCCCCCCTATCATTAGTGTTTCCCTTCACTTCTGTCTTAGTTATATTGTCTTTTGCTACATTTTTTGATTACCAGAAGAAACCACTATTCTGAAGTAATGTTATTGTTAAAGGAATAAAGAGTAATTATAGAGAAATTACTGTGGCATCATCAAAAAGGTGTTTAGTTTTTTTTAATTTTGAGATAGGACCTCATGTAAGTAGGCTGGCCTCAAACTGCTTGTGTAACTAAGGTTGAACTTGCAGCTCTGATCCCTAGTGCTGGGGTTACAGGCATGCACCGTGCAGTGCTGGAAATTAACCCTAGAGCCTCTTTCGTCTGGCAACTTGCCCAATCCTCATCCTCAAAAATGACCTTTTTGAGACCCTAATTGAACCCTGTTCCTGAGGGATTTCCTTCCATTCTGCTCCTGCACTTCCACCCATACCACCTCAGCCCTGGCTCTCAGTGCCTTTGGCTGCCACTCCAGATTGTTAAGAGGCTTCATCTCCATCAGACAGAGATCTGATTGTGCCTTCTAGGTCAGTAACCACACAAATACTGCTTTTATTCCTTCCCCGTGTTCCCCATGAACTTTCCTGATTGAGGAAAACATGGGAAGTTAGGAAGTATTAGCAAATTTATTGCTAGACAGCAAAATCCTGAACACATTGGAGTAACTTAGGCCTCCTACAAAGGGAAAGTGACTTATATTTTCCTTTGTCCAGGGAAAACTACCCTTGGGAAAGATAACTATTATAATTTTATTATGGTTCTCTTACTCCAGGAATACCAAGGCGTAATTTATATTATTTCTTGGCTATATTTATTTGGGAAAACTTACAGTGACTTAAAATTTATAGCCCAGGCCCACAAGGTGGCTCACAGTTGTAATCCCATCTTTCAGGAAACTTTACCAGGAAGGTTGCCAAGACTTACAGAGGCCAGCCTGGGACAGATAACTTACTAACCCATTTCCATAACCCAGAACATGTATTCCTTCTGTTAACCTTGTTTATATACTGTGTCGACATCAGATTGTAGACACTTTATTTAAAAAATCTTTCTGACCCAATAGTCAGGGTTCTCTTAAGAACTCGATCTAGCTGGGTATGGAGGCACACTTCTTTAAGCTTAGAGCTTAGGAGGCAGAGGCAGGCAGATTTCTGTGAGTTCAGGGACCAGCTTGGTATACATAGTGAATTCCAAGCCGGACAGGACAGCACAGTAAGACCCTGTCTGTATTTTTGTCTTAATCCCAAACACAGCTCCTGCTTTATAACACATAGCAATATTGAAGGAAAACAAACAACTTTCTGAGATGTGTGTAAGGAACAGCAAAGAGAAGGGGAATGATTCTGTTTGGGGCATCTAAAGAAGGCTTCACAAGTGTTGACGCTCAGGCTGTATCTCAAAGGATGAGTGTAAAGTAAGTTAGGGCTAGAAAGGAGCATTCCAAACTGAAGGGCAAGGGCTTCCATTTCATGTGATTGAGAGGAATCCTGATGAAGGGAGTAGATAGAGGGCTGGGGAGCTAAACTGTAAAGGATTTCAAGGCAGTAAAGAGACATTGAGTTTAATAAACAAATAATTGTCTATTTCAGGAAGAAAATTTTTGCTAAAGTACAGTAGAATAGAAAATTTTTTAAAAAATCTTTCTCAGATTTTAAAATGTGGAATGCATGATGAATTTCGTGTCGCCCTTGCATAGAATCTCTGTGTCATTCCAATTTTAGCATATGTATTGCCAAAGTGAGCCCAAATTTTTTTTTTCTTTTTTTTTAAATATTTATTTATTTATTATGTATACAACAGTCTGTCTGCGTGTATGCCTGCAGGCCAGAAGAGGGCACCAGACCTCGTTACAGATGGTTGTGAGCCACCATATGGTGGTTGTGAGCCACCATATGGGAATTGAACTCAGGACGTTTGGAAGAGCAGGCAATGCTCTTAACCGCTGAGCCATCTCTCCAGTCCCTCTTTTTTTTTTTTTTTTTTTTTTAACTAGGGTAAAATATACCACTTTAACTGTTCAGCTGCTTTTGCCTATTCACGGTGTTCTACAAGTGTTGCCACAGTCTAAAAGTTCAATGCCTCAATGGGTAACGAAGTTACTTGCCGTCAAGCCAGACTGAGCTCAATCCCAGGAACCCACATGGAAAATGAGCAGGAAGCCCTGAAAGTTGTTCTCTGAGCACCACATGTTGCCCCCCCCCAACATGTGCCTCCAACACAAAAGAAATAAAAATGTAATAAACTTTTTTTTTTAAAGAATTTCAGGAACATTTTCCACTGTACCTAGCATGGCTTGGTTTTGGAAACCTGATTGGGACAATGAAGAAAGGACAGACACATGGGGATGCTCTGGGGCACCGAATACCCCTTTATTATTTATAGCTGGTGAAAGAGGGAAAAAACTAGTCTCTGTGGGAGATCTCTGTAGGGAAGCAATCTCAGGCTGTAAACAAGCTGCAGTTCTGCTTTTTGTACACCGTGTCAACATTGCACATAGACTGGAGGAAAACTTTGCCAATTCCCATGGGTCTGAGGGACTGGTCTTTGTTCAGTAACATGCTTTAGCTCAGGGCAGCCTCAGCTCCCAACAGTTTTTATCACGCAAAAAGTAGAGAGCAAAAAAGTAGTCATTATTTAGAAGGCATGGAAAGGAGGCTTCGTAATTGAAAAAAGACATGTCTGAAGTAGACTCATTAGAACTGGAATAAGATCCTAAGATACTGTGCAAGCATTTTCAGAATATTGACTCAAGCATTTTCCAGCTTAGTAGCCATTTCCTTTACTTACATTTAATGTGCTGTGACAGCATCATTGTATCTCTGTTTTTGAAATGCTTTCATTCAAAATCTGGACCCTGTGAAACTAAATCTCAGGTCTCCACTAGGGGTGTTCACCCACTATTCCTCATCTGGTACATGAGGAATCCCATGAACATGGATGCATTGCTGTAGTAATCAGACAGCTTCATGTTGATGCATTCTGAATGCTGAAGAAGTCGTTTTTAGTTATAAACTCTGAGGGAACCTCTCAGGGTAGGACTTGGCTGGTAGGTAGGTGTTTGTCCTGTGAGCCTGATTTGTTGTCCCTGCCCCCATTGTACAGCTTGCTCATTTATTTTCCGTGGCTTTTCCTCAGGCGCTTGGGCAGCAGCTGGGCCTTCCACATCCTGGCACAAGTAGAGCTTGATGGCTAAATTGGTGCTGGTCACGAGTTATGGATCTTGACTAGCGTCCCCTTTCCTCAGTCTGACTGGAGTTCTTACTAGTACCAGACTGAGCTTCTGACCAACTTGGCTCACAATTGTTGCTATGAGACTAGCAGATGTAGGGGAACTGGAGGTTTAGGACAGTGTTCTGAAACCTTCTCCACTTTTTCCTTATGTTGACAGAGGTTAGGGTTCGGCATTTAGAGATGTCTGGGTCTGGAACTGAGAACAGACTTTGGAAATAATTCCCCAGTTGGTATATATTTATTAAATAAAACTCCTTCATCCATCTTAACACATTCCTTCCAAGATAACCTGTCACTCTTTGCATCCCCTAAAATGTGGAAGCTGCTTCTGTTACATCTGTTACTCATGCTGTTAATATCACTAAGCTGTATACTTACAGATAGAGCACTGAGGGTGTGAATGGATGTTCAGGGAGAAGATCTCTTCCAACCCACAGTGGTCTGCAGGCCCTCACAGATGATCTTTGCTAATACTGTGTGAGATAGCCTCAGCTGAATTGGGAGGGGAAAGATCTGACCTAAGTGATTTTAGAGAACAAGTTTGTCTAGAAACTGTATAGCCAAAGATAAAACTATTTTTTAAAATGCTGTATTGTGTTTATAAGCTTTTTTCTCAAGGAGGTTGACAGTCCTAAAATAGTTTATGGGAATGGAGAGATGGCTCAGTTGTCAGTGCACTTAGCTTGCTAACATGAAGACCTGAGTCCAGATGCCTTGAACCCACATAAAAGGTATGGTGGCATACATTTGTAATCTCAGTGATACATGGTCAGAAGTCGATTCCTGGAGCTGGTAGCTAGTCTACAATATGAAGTTCCAGATCAATGAAAGGCCCTATATTAAAGAAAAAAAGTATGGCTGGGTGGTGGTGGCGCACATCTTTAATCCTAGCATTTGGGAGGCAGAGGCAGGGGTATCTATGTGTTTGAGACCAGTCTGGTCTACAGAGCGAGTTACAGGACAGCCAGGACTACACAGAGAAACCCTGTGTAGAAAAGGGTGCAGAGCGCCTGAGGAACCACTACTGAGATTGTCTTCTGACCCCTACCTGAATTCACACACCCTCACACATGTATACACACACAAATATGAGCATACATGGGCACATGTATAAAAAATAATTTATAACCAAGAAGTAGCTATAAAATAACAGAACTGGTCCCCCACTATCAGAGATTACAAATTGAAAGCTACAATGAATACTGGATTAGATTTACAGACTTTGTGTGTGTGGATTTTTGAGACAGGGTTTCTGTGTGTAGCTGTGTCCTAGAACTTGCTCTGTAGACCAAACTGGCCTCAAAATCAAGAGATCTGCCTCTGCCTCTTGAGTGCTGGGATTAAAGGTATGCATTACTACACCTGGCTGTACCTTTTTTCTTTAAATATATGGATGTGATCTATATGCCTACAGAGATCAAAATTGGGCATCGGATCCCATGAGACTGAAGTTAGAGCCGCAAGCCAGCATGTGGATTCTGAGAATAAAACCCGGGTCTTCACCAGTGAGCCCAAGACTTCACCAGCCCAAGACTTCAATATGATTTTGTTTAGTTTGACATAACGTAAATACAGAAATAGTGATAGATGTTTGAGTAACATGGATAGTTGTACATACTATGTACTATGTACATACTATGTTTGACTACTTCCCAGGTCTTTGAACTGAGAGTCTAGAAGCAGTGTCGTTCTGATAGCACATCCACACCCAGATCATGGTATCTAGCTATTTATTTGGGATAGGGTTTCACTATGCAGTTCTGGCCATCCTAGAGCTTCCTGTGTAGAGCATGCTGGCCTCCAACAGAGGAAACACTCGGGGGGGGGGGTAGTGGTATTTGGAAAGGCAGGTGGGTCTGTGAGTTTGATACTAACCTGGCCTGCATAGTGAATTCTAGGACAGCCAGAGTTACATAGTGAGATATCGTCTCAGAAAATTGAAAATAAAAGTAAAATAAAAAACTTGCTGGATGGTGATGATGCATGCCTTTAATTCCAGCACGTGGAAGGTAGGCAGATCTGAGTTCCAGGACAGCCAAAGCTACACAGAAAAACCCTGTCATGGGGGTCTACGAGATGACTCATCAGGTGAAGGCACTTGCCAAACCCACAGACCCGAATTTCATTCCCAGAACCCATACAGTAGAAGGAAAGAGCTGTCTCCCACAGGCTATCCTCTGCTACACTATAACACAAGTACACCTTCACGCATGTACATGTACACAGATAAAAAGCTCAGTGACCAAAGATGGAGCAATAGGAACAATAAAACAGACTTACTTATTCAATATTACTAAATTGAATATATTTATTGAATTATAACTCATAGCATAAATATATACTGGTCAATATTGATACAGTAATAACTAGATTCTCTTTATAGAAGAAATTAATTTAGATAGATATCCAGAAGATAGAACTAATCTCCCTCTCCCTTGTCTCTCCTTCCAAGGACAGAGTACCTGAAAGGGAAAAGTAGTCCTACGTAGTGCAGAGACCTCTGGATCTACCTGACCCAAGTGACTAAATTCAGTGGCTCCAGTGAGAGGCACTGTGGGGTAATTTGTATCCCTGCTAGAGTATGAGTATGTTTGATAGTCTTCTGAAAACTAGTAGCCACCATCTAAACATGAGAGCATCAAACTCAGATTGAAGTACATTCTATCAAACTATCAAGATTGTGAAAATTAAGAAAAACTGAGAAACTTATGGAGGAGACTCAGGGCTCTTGATGATAATTATAAAGTGATACATTTAATTGGATCTTGTAACAGACCATGGCATTAGTGGAAAGACTGATGAGACCTGAATAATGTCTAGAATTTAGGTAGCATGTGCCAATGTTACTCTCTTAGTTTTAACAAATATAAATATTTTGATAATTTACTATGTACCTATGATGATAAAGTTGGAAACTGGGTGAAGGTTATACAGAAATTCTGCGTTGTCTTTGCAATTTTCTGTTAATTCAAATTATCCCAAGGCCAGGTGTGGTGGTGCATGTCTTTAATCCTAGTGCTCAGGAAGCAAAGGCAGATGAATCTCTGAAATCCACCAGCCTGAGCTACATAGTAAAATGTTTGTCTCCAAATAATAGTAATAATAATAATAGTAACTTTAAAAAGCTTTCTGTGCACAAACTGTAAACTTGGATTTTATAATACTGTTCTGCATTGAGATCTTGTCCATTATCAGTGTACATATTGCTACTTTAGTCTTGTTTTCATATTTGGGCTATTATGAATAAGCTGCAGGGAATGTGGGCATATGAACATTTTTTTCAGATATTAATTCATTTGCTTTGGTATAAAACCAGGAGTCATAGACTATTTTTGTTGTTGTTGTTGTTTTACTTTATGAGGAACCTCCATACTGTTGATTCCATAGTAATTGTATCAGTTTACAATCTCACCAAGGATGTTTGTACACAGATTCACACTTCTCTCTGTCCTTATTGGACCTTGTTGCTTGTCTGTTTTGTAAGTACCATCTTGACAGTTATAAGGCCAGAACCCTCAGGGGCTTTAAAAGTTCTATGAGTCAGGTCTTTTAAATGTACTGGTCAGCTAAATTTGTAGCTAGGTATTTTCACTCTTTTTGATCTTCCCTCCTTTACACTCCATGTGGATGTTCTATCCCCTGGTTTATTCCGTGTTAAAGGTTGAACTCAGGACTCAGTGCATGCTGGGCAATCACTCTACCAACTGAGCTTACACCTTCGGTCCTGATTTTTTTTTTTACCCTTTATGCCATTTGTCCCCATTCATCCTTTATGCTGTTTTGTAGGTTATATATGTGTATATACACAAAGGTTTTTTCATTTGATGATACTAATTTATACATAGCTTATTTTTTAATTGTGTATACAGACATTTCAATTACTGAAGAATGCTTATTTTTCATTTTTTAAATATTCAACACTACATATCTGAAATATGGCAGTGTCTTTCTTATCTAGGAGGACATTTTGTCCAGCAGTATATGGTCTCCTAGTGTAAACAGGAAACATTGAACCATTGAGTACTGTTTTATGTTTTCATATTTCTTTTATTTCTTCTAGATGTGAAATCCGGTGGCTATACAGTGTTACAAGTGGTAGAAGCCCTTGGGTAAGAACCTCTGTTCTAGAATATTTCTCCAGTCTTGCCTGGATACTTTCAGAGTTATTGCTTCCCTGGAACCTGATTTTCTTCTCGTAGTTAAAAGCCCCCTATCCATAGCAGCACTTGAGTATAAGTGTAAGCCACAACAGGTTCTGACTCAGCCTGCAGGTTTGGGTGAAGTGGGTGTCGAAGGCCTTTCACTATTATCTAATTGGAACTAGACTTCTCTTGTGCTTCCTTAGATCCAGCTAATCCCCTTAGGAGCCTAGTTGTCCCAGATGGCTCAGGCATACTGTAGGCCTAGTCTCCTTGTCTGGAGGGTGCTCAGGACATGTACTGTGCTAGATCCCCGGTAGTGGAAGATACTTGGAAACAACTAAAAGAGCAGTGTTGTGGGGACCAGAGAGATGGCTCAGTGGTTAAGAGCACTATTGGCTGCTCTTCCAGGGACCTGGGTTCAATTCCCAGCACCCACATGACAGGTCGCAACTGTCTTTAACTCCAGTTCCAGGGAACCCGACACCCATGGTACAACATGCAGTGCGCATAAAATAAATAATTTTTTTAAAAAAAGAACATTCATAACCTAGGGTTCTAAGAATCAGATAAAATACATGCCTGTAGTCTAGGGCTTGCTTTCCCCAAACCTCATACATGGCAGATCACTTAGGTTGACAAGTATTACTAATATGTTATTGTCATAGTCAACCTTATCTTCTGAAAATTGAAGGAAAAATTTAAAACCGGCATGTCTTACACAGCAGACCATTTGGCTTTTCTGTTTACCTTCTTGTGGTCGTAAGGGTTTTTGTTTTTGTTTTTTCTTGGTTTCTCTATATAACCCTGACTGACCTGGGGCTCACTCTCTGGACAAGACTGGCCTCAGACTCAGAGATCTGATTGCTGCTGCCTCTGGAACACTGAGATTAAAGGCTTGTGCCACCACCACCAGGCAGTGTTTTGTTTGTTTGTTTTTATTAATAGTTTTATTGAAAGTATAACTGACACAGGGTTGAAGAAATGGCTTAGAGGTTAAAAACACTATGTCTGCTCTTCCAGAGGACCAGGTTTCATTCGCAGTACCCATTATGGCTGCTCACAACTGTCTGTAACTTGTGTCTCGGGATCTGACACCCTCTTCTGGCCTCTATGGGAACCAAGCATGCAGATGGTACACAGACATACATGCAGGCAAAACATCCATACACATAAAAATAGATAAATCGTGTGTGTGTGTGTTTGTAAAACTGACATACCACAAAGTTCACCCTTTTTTTGGAGGGAGTTTCAAGATAGGGTTTCTCTATATGGTCCTGTCTGTCGTGGGACTCACTCTGTAGACCAGTTTGGCCTCAAGCTTGAGGTCTGCCTACCTCTGCCTCCCAAATGCTGGGATTAAATATGTATACCATTACTGCCTGGCCAAAGTTCACCATTTTAAAGTTTGAAATTCTGTGCCCTTTTTTTTAACCTAAGTCTTTTTTTAAAAAAAAAATATTTATTTACTATGTATACAATATTCTGTCTGCGTGTATGCCTGCAGGTCAGAAGAGGGCACGAGACCTCATTACAGATGGTTGTGAGCCACCATGTGGTTGCTGGGAATTGAACTCAGGACCTTTGGAAGAGCAGGCAATGCCTTAACCACTGAGCCATCTCTCCAGCCCTTCTGTGCCGTTTAGTACATTCATGGATCTGTGTATTCTTGCACACGATCACCATGTGAACATTTTTATTACTCCGAAATGAAACTGCTGCTCCTCAGCACTCATTCCCTTATCCCTCTTCCTCCCAGCTCCCGGTCTGTTGATTTGCCTGTTGTGGAAATTTCAGATATATAGAAGCAAAGGCTGTATGGCCTTCGTGTCTGATTTCTCTCACTTAGCATGAATTTTACCTTTCCTATTGCTGTGATAAAATACTCTGACAAAAGCGATTTAAGGTAGAAAGGGCTCATTTATGGCTCATAGTTCAACAGTTCAAATCTGTGTCAGTGAAATTCTGGTGGCAGGAGTTTGAGGCATAAATAAGATCACATTGCATCCAAAGTCAGGAAGTAGAGGTGTTTCCACTCATACAGTTCAAGATCCTATCCCAGAGAATGTTGTTTCCCACATTTAGGGTTAGTCTTCCTCACTTAGTTTCATCCAGAAAATCCTTCACAGGAATAAGCACTATTGGTAATCCCTCACAAGTATGCCTACAAGCTTGTCTCCTGGGCGAGTCTAGATCATGGCAAGATAACAACCAATGTTAACAGTGCAGCTTGTTTACAAGGTTTCTTTGTGTTGTATGTCAGGTCTACGTTTCATTGCTTCCTAAACAACACTCCATTATATACCAATGACCAACATTTTGTTTAACTATTCATGAGTTATGATGGACATCTGGGATGTTTCCATTTTTGTGCTTTTATGAAAAATGCTGTTATAAGCATTTGTGTGCCTTGATCCTTTTTTTAAGTGCTACAAATGCACAATATCCTACCTGCTAAGCAGAAACATTTCCATGAGTTCCTGTCCTTAGAATACAGTCAGAAGAAGTTTTATTTCTTTTTTTTTCTTAAATATTTTTTATGGTTTGTTTAACTTTATCTTATGTGCATTGGTGTGAAGGTGTCAGATCCCCTGCAACTGGATCTTTAGACAGTTGTGAGCTGCCATGTGGGTGCTGGGAATTGAACCCACATCCTCTGGAAGAGCAATCAGTCCTCTTAACCACTGAGCCATTTCTCCAGCCCCAGAAGTTTTATTTCTATACCAGTATAGTTCCTTTATCTTGAGGTTTCACATAAAACTCTCAAGATCAGCTTTCCAGAAATCTACTTTCTGCTCAGGTTATGTTGAAGTGTAATCTCAGGAGAGCTATTTGAATATAAGTCATCTTGGTGCTTCACTTCAGCTGTTCCCATATCAGTAGTCCTTCCTGGTTAGAACTGCTGCTGTTAGAGGTGTAGCTCAGTTTGTAGAGACCTTGTCAAGCATGCTCAAAGCCCTTCAATTCCCAGAACAGCCTAAAATCATGCATAGAAGTGCTATATACCTGTAATCCCAGCATTCAGGATGTAAAGGCTGAAGAATAACTTGAAGGCTGTTCTTGGTTATAAAGACCTTTGAGGCCAGCTTTGGCTACATGAAACTTTGTCTCCAAAAAAGAAAAAACAAACAAACAAACAAAAATATTCCATTCATCTTTGTAGCCTTTCGTTTTTTAAGGGTATAGGTGTGTGCAAGCATACCTCCTAGGACCTTAGTTGTTCAGCCTTGTTTTTCTCTTAGCAAGGCTTTACAAATAACCCAGTGTAATGGCTCACATCTGTAATCCCAGCACTTTGGGAGTTCAAGGCAAGAGGATGGCAACAAGTTAAGTGCAGCCTGGACTAAGAATGAAGTCTTGTCTCTAAAAGCAAAGCAACAAGGGGGGCTAGAGAAGTATCTTAATTAGTAAAATGAGTTCTGTCCCAACACCCATTTGAAAGGCCAGGTGTGGTGACACATTCTTAATTCTGATGCTGGATAGATGGAGACAGGCAGGTCTAGCAGCCAGCCTAATCAAAGAGCTCCAGGCCAACCATTGAGAAACCCTATTTCAATAAACATAAGATGGACAACTCCTGAGGAATGATACCTAAGGTTGACTTCTGGCTTCCATGTACGTACATACATACACATGTGCACTTGTGTATGTATGTACATGTACATGTATGTACACGTGTATCTGCACATGCAAAAATTTCTTATTTTAGTTTGCAAAAATCTGCCACCTGCCTTCAGTAGAAGCTGCAATTGCCAGACATCTCTGAAGCCCTGTGGGTACTGTTCCTACCTCAGGAGAGAGAGAATAAGCATAGTGCTCATTGAGTGCCAAGTAAGGGATGCCAGGACAGAAATTTCTGTGGACTGTGATGTCACACAAGCCTTTGGTACTGCCAGGCTAATCTAAGGATAGGTTTGGGGGCGTCAGCCTTTTATTTGTTAAATGTTTGTTTATATTTTTGAGACAGGGTTTCTCTGTATAACCTATGCTGTCCTGAAACTCACACTGTAGGCCAGACTGACCTCGAACTCAGAGATGTGTCTGACTCCCAAATGCTAGGATTAAAGGTGTGTGCACCACCCATCTGGAGTGACAGTGTTCACTGGACACTAATGTTATTAGTTCAAGAGTACCTTCCATGGTTTTTTTAAACACTTTTAGTGGGGTGTGTAACTCTATTGCTAAGAGAGTAAGTAGGACTAACTGCAGAATATTTCCTTTATAATTTGAGCTGGTCAATCACAGATGCTTTCTGTCTTGCTGTTTCCCAGGTCATCTCTGGAGAATCCAGAACCCCGAACTCGGGCACGAGGAATCCAGCTTTTGTCACAGGTGCTACTCCAGTGTCACTCCTTGCTCCTGGAGAAGGAAGGTACTTTTATTGCTAGTAGGAACGTCTTCCTGAAGCACATGGCCTACATGACATGCACAGGGAAAGGGGGTTTAATGTATCTATGAACAACTAATTCAGTGTCTTCCTTACTTACTGGTGTATATGGCAGAGATGGGTAAAATTAAATTATAAGATACATCAATTTCAAATATAGTCTTTGATCATTTGTTCATTGTATCTCAGTGTCCACATCCTGTAAGCATATAATACCTACTGCCTGGCCCTTTACAAAAAGCTTTGTAAAGAAAAGGTTTGCAGGTCCTGTACTAAACTCCTAAAGAAACAGAAGGCAGAGGGCTTTTTGATGACTCAGTGGGTAAATGCAATTGCTGTGCAAGCCTGACAACCAGAGTGATCCCTGTAACTTACAGTATAACATGAAACTGCTTTCAGTTCCCAGCACCAAAGAAAAAGAGAAAAAGTTCCATATGGTGAATCTGGGGCTGATGAGATGGCTCACAGGTAAAAACACTTTAGGAAAAACCCTGGAGGCCTGGGTTTTATCCCACATGCAGGTAGAGGGAGAGAAATGGCTTCTGGAGGTTTTCTACATGCTGCATACCACACTGGCCTAGTCACTGTTCTGTTGTGTGAAGAGACACTGTGACCAGAGCAGCTCTTGTAAAAGAAAGCATTTAACTGGGGCTTGCTTACATTTTCAGAGGTTAAGTCCATTGTCGTCATGGTGGGAACATGGGAGCATGTTGGCAGACATGATGTTGGTGAAGTAGCTGAGCGTTCTGCATCCAAATCCACAGGCAGCAAGAAAAGAAAGACATTGGTTCTGGCTTGGGCTTTTGAAATACTTCCAGTGAGACACTTTCTCCAATAAGGACACACTTATTAATTCCTCTCAAATAGTGCCGCTCACTAAGCATTCAAATATAGGAACCTATGGGTGCCGTTCTTATTCAAACCACTACATGCACATAAAATAATGAAGTTGAAAAGGAAGCAATTCTGAGGGTTTCACTGTGAACTTCTATGAGAATTAATGAATTAATACAAGAGGCTTTCCTGTCTCTAACTCACAAAGTAAAGGTGTCATCAAATGGGAGCCATTTCTTGATTCAGGAGGACATTTGTAGGAAAAGCCAAAATGGAATGGCATTAGGAGGCAGACAAACAGAGCTGGTGGGCCTTCCTCACACCTGCTAAGCTGAAGGCTGGATCTGGTTTGTGCAGTGGTACATCTGATCCTGTTCTATGAGAACCGGCTGAAGGACCATCATCTTGTGATCCCATCTGTCCTCCAGGGCCTGAGGGCACTGGTGAGTATTTCTCATTACATAACTGTTTGTGGGAGCCCTCATACAGTTCTCTCTTGGCCTTTTGGAGATGAACCTTCACATGCCGAAGAATAAAGGCCCAAATACAGGAGTAAAAGCCAGCTCTACAGTTTTTACTCTTGTGAGTAAGTCACCCTGTGTGACAGTGGCACCCTTGAGATTTCCACTTTACCTTGTATATAAACTTCATCTATAATCTACACTTAAAAACAAAGCAGAAAACTATCTTTGGGGAACTGGAATTTGGTTGGTTTGAAAGGAGCTGTGAAGAAATGCTCAGCTAGAGAAAGTTTCTCACTATGAGTGCTTCCTCCTACAGCAGAATGTTAGGATGCCAAATTACCTAACAAAAAACATTGTAGAGCTTTGTCTTAGAGACAGTGTTCTCATATCTTCCCTTCTCTCCCAGAGCATGTCTGTGGCCCTGCCCCCTGGGCTGGCTGTCTCTGTACTTAAAGCCATCTTCCAGGAGATACATGTACAGGTGAGTGATAATAGCTGCAAGTTTACTTTGTTGCTAGTCTTTGTCTTGTAGTCGTTGATATATTTAGAATTAGGTGGTAACACAGATTGTCGAAACTCTGAGGTCATATACAGGTATCTCTTTATAGTGGCTAAGGAGAGGAAGGCATGGCATTATATCTGACCTGTCTTGCTAAGAACCTAAGATATACATGAAACAAGTTTGGGTTACTGGTATCACTGTTGTGGTTGTGCTGGTAGATCAGTAGCCAGACCTCTCTCTATGGTTCCTCTTAACTTAATCTTGTTTGGTTTAGAAAGAACTATCTACTAGAGATTGTGAAGGCCCAAATGGTTGTGTTGTTTGAAGTATTCTTTGTTTTCTTTCTTCGCTTAATTTCATTTCTTCTCCACTCTTAAGTCCCTGCTGCAAGTGGATCGCCATACAGTATTCAGTATCATCACTAACTTCATGCGATCACGGGAAGAAGGTAAGAGGCAGGACTGTGTGAGGAGTATGAAAAACAAGCGGTTGCTATCTGTCCCACATTAGAAGGGTATATTGTGGTCCTAGGGGATGTGTAGAAAGGCCAGGACTCTGAAGAGTGATAAAGGCTTGGGTGAGGTCAGTCTTCTCCTGGTGTAGGAAGAATACACACACATGCACACATAGACTTGCACATATACATATCTTTACTGAGCACTTGAAAGAGAAAAACAAAAAGGGCTGCTCTGCTAGGCCAGAAAGGAAAGCAAGAGACAGCAAGAGAATACAGACTTTCTATCCCATGGGACAGCAGTGACCTTGTTCTTTTCTTCCCAGAGCTGAAGGGCCTAGGAGCTGACTTCACATTTGGCTTCATCCAGGTGATGGATGGAGAAAAGGATCCTCGTAATCTTTTGGTGGCTTTCCGCATCGTCCATGACCTCATCTCCAAGGACTACAGTCTGGGTATGTTTTTGTAGTGGTGAACTAGCTGGTTGAAGCTGGTCAGTCAGAATGAACTTAAGTCACTTTATTCTTTCTCTGTTGCCACAGGACCTTTTGTGGAAGAGTTATTTGAAGTGACATCTTGTTATTTCCCTATTGATTTTACCCCTGTAAGTACCACCTTCATTCTAATGATGTATGGAGACATTGTTCTAGACAATTGAGCAAAACAGACAATTTACATTTTATTTGTATGGAGGGGGGCTCGTTTTTGTGCAGTGTTGGTGCTTATGTATAGAGGCCAGAAGAAGATGTTGAGTGTCTTCCTTTATCCTTATCTACTTGCTCCAGACCCTCCTGTCGACAGGGTCTGCCACTGAACCTGGAACTGACCATTTTGCCTGGACTGGCCACTTGTCTCTACAGCACAACTCACCTTCCTCCAGTATTGGGGTTACAGAACTATCCACCATTGGTACTGGAGTTCTGTAGCTCTTACTGACACTTGCTCCACTGAGCTTTTTCTCCAGGCTGATAGACATTTTAAAGTCCTCATAGATTTGTATTTTAGTAAGCTTGGAAATGGAGAAACATCCAACACCAAAGGGGCGGTTGAATTCAGCAGGTACTTGAGAGGAGGACTTCTTAAGTTCCCTAACAAAGCATTCATTGCTGAGCAGGATTGTTTAGCTGTGGTCCTTGCCCTTGAAGTTTGCAACATTGAGGTAGCACTATAAGATTAGATGTCAAAATGAGTGGTACTGTAGTCATTCTGAAAGATGAGTTTATTGTAAGCTACAGTTGGTAGGAACTGACCTAGCAGATAAGTCTTGGTTGGTTTCCAAGGGATGTATAGAATATGAATCTGTGGTTATAGGGTGTATCTCAGGTGATAAAAGCAAATTAACAGAAAAAAAAAAACAGCACAGTTGCACACTGCATATACAAGAAGTGTTTACTCTTGTGGTCCTTCTCACTCTGCTTTTTATTTCTTTTCTATTACGAGATACTTGGAGTCTATTGCTGTATGGGATATGTGGAGATGTGTACTGCAAGCATTAGTAATGTGGAAGAAATGAAAGCTCTACTGAGTATGCCAAATGATGCATGAGTATTGACTCTGACTGTTGTTAAAAAGCCTTAGCTGTCTTTACTTGACATCAGTCACCAGCTTATTCTCAGTTGGCATTCTGTTAAACCACCACTCTCCTCAAATTGTTTCAGATGCAATAACTTTCTTTACAATGCAGAAGAAAGTTATACCTTTGAAATGTTGACTGGTTCAACTACTGTTTGTGAGTGTGTGCTCGTCTCGTGCGTGCGTGTGTGTGTGTGTGTGTGTGTGTGTGTGAAAAGATAATACCTCAGCAGGTAAGAGTGCTGGCTACACAAGCCTGACTACCTTAGTATTCCTGGTATTATTTTGAGATAGGGTCTCGCTATGTGTGGCCATGACCTTGAACTTCTAACAAGGCTTAGTCCCTAAGTGTTGTAATTACTGGCAATACCACATTTCCTAACTTGCTCTCTATGTCGCTCTTAGGAGTTTTTCTTAAGGTTTTGTTGTTATTGTTATTTTGTTATTATTTTATTGATTTCTATTTTATAGCATTCTGTTTTTAGCTCATGGGTAGATGTATCTGTCTTTATTAGGGTTTTTGTTGCTGTGAAAAGACACCATGACCATGGCAAAGGAAAACTTTTAACTGAGGTGGCTCATTTACAGTTAAAAGGTTTGGTCCATTATCATCATGGCAGGGAGCATGGCAGCGTACAGGCAGACATAATGCTGGAGAAGGAGCTGCTACATGTTAATATACATGCAATAGGAAGTAGACTGTCTAACTGGGAGTAGCTTGAGCTCAAAGCCCATCACCATAGTTACACACTTCCTCCAACAAGACCACACCTACTATGACAAAGCCACATCTCCTAATAGTGCTCTGCCTTTAGGGGCCATTTTCTTTCAAACTACCACATGCTGCTCTCTGGGCCCCAAAGGCTTGTAGCCATATCATAATGCAAAATTGCGTTCAGTTCAACTTGAAAAGTTCCCATTGTCTTAACAATCCCAGACTTATTAAAAAATCTAAAATTCAAAGTCTTTTCTGAGATTCATGCAGTTTCTTAACTATAATCCTCTATAAAATCAAAACCAAAAAGCCATTCACATACTTTCAACATATAATGGCATAGGATATGTATAACCATTACAAAGCATATGGAATGGAGCATAGTGAGAAAATACTGGACCAAAACAAGACCAAAAACCAGCTGGACAAACTCCAAATTCTGCATCCCCATCTCTGATGTCAGAACACTCTTCAGTTCTCCAACTCTGTTCAGTTTTTTTTGACTGCTGCACACTTCTTTATCATGGGCTGGTTCCATTTTCAGCTTTGGAAGCTTTCCTCAACAGGTGTTCCCTAGCTCTGGCATCTCCAACATCTTAGGATCTACAAGGCAATTGCAGCTTCAGACAGTGGCCTCTCTGGGTCTCCATTCAGGGACACCCTTTACAACATGCCTGGCCTCAGCAGCTTTCCTTAGGTGTAGAGGCAAATTCTATAACCCCTTTATCCTTGACTGTAAAGCCAGAACCATGTGCCAAGTTCTGTTTCCTGGGCTGGAATCTGGCCCCCTTCTTCACCAGCTTCCTGTTTTTGATTATTGCCTTACTACCTAAACTTAGCTGTCCTTGAACTTGCTCTTTTAGACCAGGCTGGCCTTAAGCCTCTACCTCCTGAGTTCTGGGATTAAAGGCGTGCACCACCACACCCAGCTCTAAAATTAAAGCTTTTCGTTAGTTCCTTTTCACTAGTTGGAAATTTAGCTGGGTGGACTCTTGCCCTGAGGCTGTTTTGAGATTTCCTCTGCCAAGGAAATTAATAAAAAACTCTTCACTTTAGCCCAAGACAGACTTTTCAGACAAGGGCAAAAAGCAGCCACATTCTTCACCAAAATAGGACAAGACTGGTCCTTAGGCCATATATTAACATTCTCCTTTGAAACCTCTTGAGTCAGCACCCCACCATTCAAATCACTCTGCACCACTGTCTTCCATACTCCTACTAGTATGGCCAATTAAGCAGTGCTTATAACATTCTCCTGTTTTCCTAACCCAATTCCCAAAGTCCATACTTCTTCAAACAAAAGCATGGTCTAAACTATCACAGCAGTACCCCAGTTCCTGGTCCCAACTTCTGTCTTAGGGTTTCTATTGCTGTGAAGAAACACCATGACCACGACAACTCTTATAAAGGAAAGCATTTAATTGTGACTTGGCTTACAGCTCAGAGATTCAGTCTGTCATCATGGTGGTGTGCAGGCAGACATGGTGCTGGAGAAGGAGCTGCTGTTGATATGAAGACAATAGGAAGTAGACTATCTTACTGGGAGTAGCTTGAACATAGGAAACATCAAAGCCCATCTCCACAGTGACATATTGTCAGTAAGACCACACATACTCCAAGAAAGCCACACCTAATAGTGTCACTCCCTTTGGGGACCATTTTTTTTTTCAAACCACTGCAATATCTCAAAAATAATAATGTCATTTTTAAAAAAAAAATTTTAAGTTTTTTTTTTTTTTTAATTTATGGTGTGTGTCTGAGTAAGTCTATACCTTATTTGTGCAGGTTCCTCACAAATGCCAGAAGAGGATATCGGGTTCCCTGGAGGCACAATTATAGGTACTTTTGAGCAGCCTGACGTGGGTGCTAAGAACCAAATTCGGGCTCTTTTTGAGAGCATTATTTGCTCTTACACATTGAGCCATCTCCCCAGCCCTTAAATCTTTTTTATTACATTTATTTGTGTGACTACTCATACTGAAACACTGTTTTTGGGAGATGTGAACAAGTGTCTGTTCACCCCAGGTAGGGAACAGGCAATAGACCAAAGTATAGATACCGCCAAAGTCTTAATTTGTTGAAGCAATTAATTTTATTGGGGTTATAACAGGAATATGGTTGAAGAGTTTCTTACAGGAACAGAAATGGCTCAAGGTATCTATCACCAAAGACAACTCAAAAAAAAAAAAAATTGGTGCACACTGCACCCCCTGCAGGTAGTTCAGCAAGCTGAAAATGTGTCCTTTTCCGTTGGGATGAGCCTCTTCTAGGAAGCTTAGCTGGTCTTTGTTTCTTCTACTTGGCTCCTCTGAGATAGTCTCAGAACAATTTTTACTGCTTATATATACTTGGGGAAGGAGAGTTCTAGTGGCTCTGGTCAATTTCAGGGACTTGTGGAAGCTATTTTAGTAGTTTGTTTCATGTCTCAACTAGCTTGCTTGGAGGATGGAGTGTTTCATCTCTCTGTAAACATTCTGTCTTAAAATACCCTGTTTTGGATTGGCAATATGGCTCAGCCATGACAAGCACTGGCTGCCCTTCCAGAGGTTCAGTTCCCAGCACCCACATGATAGCTCACTGCTGTTTGTAATTCCAGTTTCAGAGAATCCAACACCTTCACAGATATACATGCAGGTCAAACACCAAATGGACATAAAATAATTTTTTTAAAAAATCCCGTTTTACATCCCCATTTTATACATAATGCAGGTCAAATACCAAATGCACATAAAAAATTTAATTTTTTAAAAAAATCCTGTTTTTTATACCCATTTATATTCTGTGTCTTAAATTTCTCCAAATTGAAAGGTTTTGACCTCTGAGGAAATAACTTCACATACATGCCATGGTACATGTGGAGGTAGGTCAGGGAACAACTTGTAGGAGTTGGTTCTAACCTTCCATCATATGGGTCCTAGGGATTGAATTCATGTTATCAGCCTTAGTGGCAGCTTTACCCACTGAGCCATCTCTTTGGCCTATGTTACTGGGAATAAAACTTTTTCGAGAGTGTCTGTATGATGATAACTGGTACATGTATGCCACAGGCTATAGGTAGATATCAGAGGACAACTTTAGTGGAGTCGTCTCTCTTTCCACTTATACATTGGTTCCCAGGATTGAACTCTGATCTCTAGTCTGTAGTTGACTTTTTGTTTTGTTTTGTTTTAACTCTTTGGCTCTTTGTTCTTTGCTATTTTGGGGACCCATCACCCAGCCCCCAAATAAATCACACCCAGAGGCTTATAAGTGCCCAGCATTAGATTGGCTTATTTCTAGCCAGCTTTCCTTAAATTATTCTGTCTACCTTATGCCTCTGGACTTTTTCCTTTTCTTCTGTATATCTTACTTTCATTCTTACTCAGTGGCTGGCTGTGTGATTAGGTGACTAGTCCCTAGGGGCGACCTTTCCTTGTTCTCTTGCTCCTCCATCCTCTCAGATTTCTCCTCCCATTTATTCTCTCTGCCTGCCAGCTTCACCTATCCTTTCCTTCCAAGCTATTGGCCAGTCAGCTCATTATTAGACCAATTAGGAGCTTTAGACAGGCAAAATAATACAGCTTCATAGAGTTAAACAAATGCAGCATTTCTTTGTATCATTAAACAAATGTTCCACAGCATAAACAAATGTAACACATCTTAAATAATATTCCTCAACACTAGTCTTAGGCAGCAAGGGCCTTTACTTGCTGAGCCATCACCAGCCTCATTAAATCTCTTTTCTCTATGTGTGTCTGTGCATGTGTGTATGCACTCATATATATCCATATTCCTTGTTTTCTCCTAGTTTTTTGAGGGGAAGCCCTGAGTACATGTGATGGGAGTTCTGTATGAGCTTCATTTCCTCCTTTCTTTCTTTCCTTTCTTTCTCTTTTTCTTTCTTCCTTTATTTTTGTTATTTATTGTAGGTTTTTGTTTTTTATTTTTGTTTTTTTTTGTTGTTGTTGTTGTTGTTCTTTTTGGAGACAGAGTTTCTCTGTATAATAGTTCTAGATGTCCTGGATCTTGCTTTGTAGTCCAGCCTGTCCCAAACTCACAGAGATCCACTTGGCTGTGCCTTTTGAGTGCTGAGATTAAAGGCATGCCCCACCACCACCCTACTTAGTCCCATTTTAGAGTAACTTACATGGATAGCCTGGGAAATTCCCAAAATAATCTTATTTGGCTAATCATCTAGAAAAAAAAAAAAAAGACTTTATGTCTGCCTAGCAGACGAGAGCTGAGAATATCAAACTGGTACCTTATCACTTTGATCTCCGGGTGCAGCACTGAGACCCTCTACTGCACCTATTCAGTCAAGAAAATTAAACCTCAGGGATCTGCTATGATTAAGGAAGAGTAAGAAGACTATGCAGGACCTTAGATTGTTTCTCTATCCCATTCCCAATTCCACTGTCCCTTAGAATCGCCCATTCCACACCTTTCAGGGAGTGTGCAATGGGGGAATTAGTTATTCAGATACCCCCGGGTCTACCTAGAGTCCTTTCATCTTAGATGTGGGGGTCATTTTCTTACCATCTACCTTGTATCTAGAATGATTTTGCATATCTCTTCCCTGGTTATCTTCAACATTCTCCCTTTACTGTATTTTTGGTGCAGTTTCCAGAGGAGTAAAGAAAAAAATCTAAAATTCTGTTTTTTTGTTTGGTTGATAGGTTGATTGGTTGGTTTTTTGAGACAAGTTTCTCAGTAGCTATGGAGCCAGTCTTGGAACTTGCTGTGTAGACCAGACTGGCCTCAACCTCACAGAGATCCTCCCATCTCTTCCTCCTGAGCACTGGGATTAAAGATGAATGCCACCACTCCTGCCTGAAAATATTTTTAATGTAGCAGACAATGTATGTACCTTGGCAATAGAGTGCTTGCCTAGCATCCCAAAGTATTCAATTCCAGCACGGAATGCAAGTTTTGGTGACACACACCTATGACCCTGACCCTTAAGAGGTAGATGCAAAACAATCAGAAGATCAAGGTCGGCATTAACTACATAGAGTGTTTCAAATTAGCCTATGTGAGATCTTATGGAAAAAGATGTTTAATTCTAATACTGTAAAAAATAAACACCTTGCTGTGTGTCACCACCCAATCCGCGACTTAAAGCCCTACACTTGAGAGACAGAAGCAAACATATCTGAGTTAAGGCCAGCATTGTCTACATAGTTCCAAGACTCCCTGGGCTACATAGAAAGACCCTTTCTCAAGAAACAGAAAAATAAAGTAGTGCCTAAAAGATAAAAATATGTAAGAGTGAGCATGTCTTCTAGCTGGGACTGCATGATGTATGATTGTGCTAGATTGGGTCTAAGTGTCACCTGTACTTCAGGCTTGCTAGGTTCAGATTAAGGGCTAAGGTGTTCCATGGTTCCTTTCCATTTTCAGCCACCTAATGATCCCTATGGCATCCAGAGAGATGATCTCATCCTGAGTCTCCGTGCTGTGCTGACTTCCACACCACGTTTTGCTGAGGTGAGTCTGGTCTAGGTGAAGGTAGTCTCTGCCCAGAGAAGGCTCTAAAGGGAGAGCAGCATGGGGTTTGGACAAAGGGATCAGCAGTTAAGGGCACTGGCTGCTCTTCCAGAGGACCTGGGTTTGATTCCCAGCACCCATATGGTGGCTCACAACCATTTATCACTCTATTTTCAGATGATCCATTACCTACATGGTACCAGGCATGCATGCAGACAAACACTCATACATATAAAATAATAGAAACAATTTTTTTTAAAGTAAAAACATGGGGAGAAAGAATGCTCTTTTACATTTTAGTGTATGCCAAACATTTTCAGACTTTCAGTATCAAAACTTCACCATCTTATCTCCTAAAATACTAATCTCTTTTGTAGGTATTGTACTTGATGTCTGTAAACTTTGCTAATGTGCCTGTTTCTCAGGTACCACAGCATGGCAGGAAAGTTAGCTTACAGTTGTAACTCCTGGCCTGCGTCTTAGTGGCAACTGTCTCGTAGGACAATACGAACATGGTTGTTGGTCCTGATGGCTAAGACACTATCTCAAGCTGAAATTTTTCCTTCTTTTTTACAGTTCTTGCTGCCTCTGCTGATTGAGAAAATGGATTCTGAGATTTTAAGTGCCAAACTGGATTCTCTGCAAACTCTGGTGAGTAGGATCCAGCTATCCTTACAAAAGTTAGTAGTACTAAAAATACAGTTTCTTGGACAGCTGAAGGCCAATTAATTCATGTACTTCATGGGCCCATATTTGGGCTTCTATGGTTGGTCTAAGCCCGGTAGCATTCATATTGTCTTACTCTGTGTAACCAAGAACTAATCAGTGCTCATCTTTTTGTTGGCTTTTTTGTTTGTTTTGTTTTTGTTTTTTGGATTTTTGAGAAAGAGTCTCTTAGCCTAGTCTGGTTCTGATCTTTTTATCTCCACTTCCCAAGTACTGAGATTAGTTTGTGTTGCCACTTCAGACTTTGTTTTAGGGGAAGGTGTGTTGGAAATTAAACCCAGAACTTCATATATCCTAGGTAAACAATCTTCCATGGGCTGTGTCAGCTTATGCTCTTAGGAGTCAGAGTAAGCTCTTTTCTGTGCCCTGGTTATTACTGTTAGAATGCCTTGAAGGTTTTCCTGCTAGAGTTCACCATGTATCCCAGAGCATCTTGAGTGTGAGTGTCCTGATGCCTGCCATTCTCTTGGCAGAATGCTTGCTGTGCTGTGTATGGACAAAAGGAACTGAAGGACTTCCTCCCAAGTCTTTGGGCTTCTATCCGCAGAGAGGTGAGTGTTAGCTAGGTAATCTCACTGCTGTTAACTGACAGGTGTCAGGCACGAGGGGAAGTAATATCCCTTCTCTGTCCTCTTCCCTATCTCCCCAGGGTCAAGGTGCTGTGTTTGTTATTTCAGTGAACAAGCAAGGGGATAGATAGACTTCAATTGAATGGCAACGGAGACAGTTCCCTTATGAGGGCTACCTGCTTGGTGATCGTACATGACCACCTTTGTACAACACCTACTTCTTGACCTCTCATTGCAAGGAACATAGGTTATGGTGTTTCTGGCACCATCTGAATGTAAAGGTAGAGAAAAAGACGTAAAATAAGGCTTATGATCACCTCTGTTCAGAGTTGGTAACCTGTTTGTAAAAACTGTATGTGTCATTCCTAGTGAGACAAAGACTTGTTGAACATATAACCAAGAAAGAAGATACTAGGTTGGGAGTTTTAGCTATCATTGCTGTGCCCCAAACTTTCTCAAACGTATCATTCTGACCCCAAAGAAAAAAAATAAAGAAGGCAGTGGATGGGTGGGACCTCATCTGATACAAGCTTACCTTAGTAGCCCTGGGATCCCTCCCTGACAGGTGTTCCAGACGGCAAGTGAGCGCGTAGAGGCCGAGGGCCTGGCAGCCCTCCACTCCCTGACTGCGTGTTTGTCTTGCTCTGTGCTGAGGGCTGATGCTGAGGACCTCCTTGACTCCTTCCTCAGCACCATTCTACAGGGTAATGGGAACTTGGAGCCAGCAAAGGGAGTGAGCACCTTAGAGCTAGCATTCCTTTAGGGCCAGTGGCCCTTTATGGGTGGCCGCCATATGTTCAGTGATTTGGGGACTGCAGCCCTTCATTGTATCGAAGACAATTAGATGGTAACTGGTAGCAAACAATTCCAAGTGTCAGTGAGCAGTCTCTATGGATAATGGGGAATCAGGCAATATTTGACCTACTCCCCAGGTCTGTGATTGCTGCCTCTCTAGACTGCAGGCATCATCTATGTGAACCAGATATGAAACTGGTGTGGCCTAGTGCCAAGTTGTTGCAGGCTGCTGCAGGTGCGTCTGCCCGAGCCTGTGAGCACATCACCCGCAACGTGCTTCCCTTGCTGTTGGAACAGTTCCACAAGCACAGTCAGGTAAGGGGACAGGTGGGAACTGGTGCTGTGGTCCCTTTCTTGGAGAGATTGAAGCTCTAGTTTGGGCCCAGATAGATCTGGGTTTGCTCCTGTTTGCTGCTTGTTCTTTATTTACTCTCACACAGTATCAGTCTTAAATAGAAGGTTAATTCTTAGAGGATCAGGACTAAAGTCCTTGAAAATCTTCTTTGACCCCAGTACTCCTTGAAACATTACAGAGCAACCAGCGACGGACAATCCTTGAAATGCTCCTGGGTTTCTTAAAGCTACAGCAGAAATGGAACTATGAAGAGAAAGGTGAGGTCACTTTGTAGTTGAGTTACCCTGGGCAGTTGTTGAGCCCTATTGCCCAGGAATATTGCAGTAGTGTACTACAGAGTAGTCAAGAGGAGTGGACCTGTTTAGAGATTGCAGTACAAGACTATACTGAATGGATTGTCATTTTGCAGTGTGTGTCCTAGAAGTCCAGTGGTTTGAGTTCTTAAAATCTGCCCCATGTTGTCTGTAGCACTGCAGACAGGGATAGGCCATAAGCCCTCTGACCTGGCCTCTATTTTTCCTAGATGAAAGGCCTCTGACTAGCTTCAAGGACCAGCTGTGCTCATTGGTATTCATGGCTCTAATAGACCCCAGCACCCAGCTTCAGCTTGTTGGCATCCGGACACTCACAGTTTTAGGTTCTCAGCCAGGTATGTCTTGAATGAAAAAAGATAAGGGAGTGTATTGATCCCTTCTTGTGTTATCTGTCTTAAGTGAAGAGCAGTGGTTTCCTCATTATCATTGCAGCACTAGATGATATGGATTTCTCAGAAGGATTGTAGCTGCAAGAAAGGAAAGCTGAAGCTTGTGTTCTTTCTAAATACAGATCTTCTATCTTCTGGGGACTTGGAGCTGGCAGTAGGTCACCTGTACCGACTGATCTTCCTGGAGGAAGATTCCCAGAGTTGGTGAGAATCTAAAGCAGTGAGGAAGAGCAATGTTTTTCCTGCCTTTTTATCAGCAGCAGCAGATGCAGCAAGAGCCAGAGTTCTTTGCTGTGTTGTTATTGTTGCTGAGTGCTTGGAAAGACGTAGGACTACTCTCTCTTCTTGGTCATTAGAAGACCTGTCCAGCTAGGCAGTGGTGGCACACACCTTTAATTCCAGCACTTGGAAGGCAGAGACAGGCAAATCTCTGTAAGTTTGCTCTCAACCTGGTCTACATAGTGAGTTCCAGGACAGCTAGGGCTACTCAGAGAAACCCTGTCTTTAAAAAAACAAAACTATATACACACAATTAAAAGAAGACTTATCCAGTTATGTTTTGTAGGGCTTGGGTCTTGCTTTTCAGCAAGGTAGCCATGAGAGCCCATTCTCCTAATCTTCCTGCTGGTGGGCCTTGGGAAAAGAATGATGGGCCAAGACTCAGCTAATACTCTTCTTTGTCTCTAGTCGGGTGGCAGCACTGGAGGCATCTGGAACCCTGACCACACTCTATCCTGGAACCTTCAGCAGCCACCTGCTACCCAAGCTTGCTAAGGAGCTACATAAAGGTATATGTGCTAATCTGTGGCCCAACCCTTGCCAGCGGGGCTTTCTGAAGAAGGCCTTCACACCATCACACAGTGAAACCATATCTCACCAATTGCTTTAGGTGAGTCAGATGTGGCTAGAGAAGATGGTCTTATGAAAAGTTCCCGGCATTTCTACTGTCTGCAAGCTTTGTCAGCCATTTCAACACATCCCAGCATTGTCAAGGAGACACTGCCTCTGCTGCTGCAGCATCTCTGTCAAGCAAACAAAGGTAGCTACCAGTTACCAACAAGGGGCAGGGCTAAATGGAACCTTGGGCTAGGGACTGTAAAGTTGTAATTGTAGTTGGTGTACAAAGCAGTGGCATGGTAAGCTCTTTAAAAATCAATACCTAACTGTAATAATATTAGAATAGTAATACAGTACGTGGATTATAATTTATGATTGTACAGGATGACATTTCGATACAAATATACCAGAAGAAAGTGATGTATATATGAACTCACACATCTGCCCTTTTTGTGTCTCTGAAGTGTTCAGAGTCATGTCTACTAGGTACTTTGCAATATTCAAGAAACTGTTGTCATCATAGTTCCTCTGTTGAGCATTAGGGGCCATGTCTCCTGGGCCTGGGGAGATGGTTTGGTCAGTAAAGTGCTTGCCTCACAAGCACAAAGACCTAAGGTTCTATCCTGAGCACCTACATAAGAAGCCAGGCACACCTGCCTTAATCTCAGCTCTGAGGAGTCAAGAGACGGGAGGATCCTCACTCAAAAATAAAGTGGACTGTGATCACAGAAGACACCCACAACTATCCATGTGCACACACCCACCAAAAGCTTTTCTTACCCAGCGTGGCATCCATTATGTCCTCTTTCTGTTCTCCCTTTCATTTTCTTTCTAGATTCTGGCACCCAATATTTGAAACGTGAAATATTTTTCTTTCTTGTGGTCATGGTAAACTTAAAAATAAATGAAATGAAAGAAAGAAAAAGCTCAGTCTAACCCAGTCAATCTCATTATCTTTAAACAATGAATGAACTACTCTTCTTGAATTACACATATACATGTTCTTTGACTCAGGAATTGAATTTTTAGAGATCCTGTTATTTTATCTCTATGTATGAAAGTTGCACCATGAGCTGGGGATATAGCTTAGTTGGTAGAGCACTTAACTAGTGTGTATGAAATACTAATTGGCATCCACAGTCCTGCATCAAATTAGGCGTTATCTTACCTACCTGTAAACCAACACTAGGAGGTAGAGGCAGGAAGATCAGCTATGCAAGATTGTCCTTGGATGACCCTTCCAGAGGACCTTGGTTTAATTCCCAGCGCCCATGTGGCAGCTCACTCCAGTCATAAGGAACCCTAATGTCCTCTTCCGGCTTCTGTGGGCACTAAGCATGCATGTGCTATATAGACAGACATACAGGCAAAACACCTATAGGCAATTTTTTTTTTAAATAAAAAAAGAAAATACCTGGAAGTGCTTGAGAGAAAACCCTATAAAGAATATGACTTTTCTCCCCACACAGGGAATATGGTTACAGAACCCAGTGAAATTACTGCTATCTGTCAAAGTCTCCAGCAAGTGGCAGAAAAATGCCAGCAGGACCCTGAGAGCTACTGGTATTTCCACAAGACAGCTGTACCCTGCCTGTTTGGTTTGGCTGTCCAGGCTTCCATGCCAGGTAATTTTCTGTGCTTCATATTCTAGGAATTTGGCTTTCTACTTGCATTAGACAGCATCAGCACCTCCTGGGTATTACTGTCACTGCCTGTTGTACTGTCAAGTACAAATCCCACTTAAGACAAGGATGACCAGGGACAGTAACCAGACTCCAGTAGTGATGGCAGCAATAAAAGGGACGCACATTTTAAATGCTGTACTACTAGTTGATTAGGATTGAACTCTGGAGTCTAGTGGGCCTGGTTGGGTTTTATGTTCAGCTTGCAAACTTTTTAAGATACCTTATTGTTTGTTCGTGTGTGTGTGTGTGTGTGTGTGTGTGTGTGTGTGTGTAAAACATATGTGTTTATGTATGACGCGTATGTGTCTAACATGTGCATATATATGTGTGTGTTATACATAGAACCACATAATTGCACAATCACGGCGTCATTGGTAAGGATTAAAGGTACTGTATGACAACAGTGCTCATTGTATGATAGTTGCTATAAATAAGACCCCATAAAGATAAACATATATCTTGAAAATTTTTAGAAGACTGACGTTTCTACTTAGTGTCAGGACTGCCCCTATTAGCTGGCCTCATTTTCTACTGTTGACTAGTGTAAGCCCAGTGCACACTTCTCTTGTGCCCCTAGTTTAAACCAGTATCACTTCTGCCTCACTGCGAGATTTTAAACCCATAACATTTCTGCAGGATATATTGACTTACTGGCTTTTACCAGGTGCAGTGGAGTACTCCTATAATCCCAATGGAAAGTAGAAGCAGGAAGATTAGGAGTTCAGGGATAGCCTGGGCTACATGAGACCCTTTTCCCAAAAAAGCATGGTGGTCCATGCCTTTAATTCCAGCACTCAAGAGGCAAAGTCAAGTGGATCTCTGTGAGTAAGTTTGAAGCTTGCCTGGTCTACATAGCAAGTTCCAGGCTAGCTAATGCTACATAGCAATACCCAGTCTCCAAAGGTAGTAGGGAACCCTGAAATATTAAGGGCTAGAGAGATAGCTCAGTAGTTAAAAGTGCTTGCTGCTCTTCCTGAGCATAGTTCCCAAACTTAGGTGGCTCATAACTACCTTTCACTCTAGCTCCGGGGGATCCCATACTCTCTTCTGGACTCTGAGAACACCTGTATTCATGTGCATAGCTCCCCCCCCCCCAGCACTTGCACACACAATACATATACACATAATTTAATTAAAAATAATTTTTTTAAAAAAAATATGATTACTCCAGAGTTAGCCTGTTATGAGATGTACAAGAACTACTTTGAATTCCTTCCTCCTTCCTTGCTAGTCTCACTGTTTAGCTCAGGCTTGACCATAAGCTCATAGTCCTCCTGCTTCAGGCTTGTAAGGCTGATATTAACAGGCAGTCTTGACCCAAATTTGGATTTTGTTTGTTTGTTTTTTCTTGAGAGACAGGGTGTAGTCCTGACTGTTGTGAAACTTGCTCTGTAGACCAGGCTGGCCTCAAACTCACAGAGATCAGCCTGTTTAAAGGCATTTAAAGGGTATATGCTGCCACCTTCAGGCCAGATTTGGGTTTCTGAACCAGTACTGGCTTTATGATTCTATAGATTGTCATGCATAGGTGTTTTGGTTTTGCAGAGAAGGAATCCTCAGTTCTGAGAAGAGTACTGTTGGAAGATGAGGTCTTGGCTGCCTTGGCATCTGTCATTGGAACTGCTACTACCCACCTGAGCCCTGAGTGAGTATAACACGAGTGACCTGAACCTCAGGGATGGAGAAAACATTCTTGGACAGGAGTCACAGGTGGTGCTTTCTCAGTTGTCCGTGTTCCTGAAAGTAAGTATGGAGGCAGTTGTTTTATAAGTTTAATGACAAAAGAAAAGGAAGGACCTTTTAAAAACAACACAGACTATTGGATGAGCCTTAGGATTAGTGATTTTTGTTGGTGGTTTATGTTGCTAGGGAATTTTTTAGGTTTGTTTATTTTTGCTTCATATGTGTTAGTGTTTTTTCTGCATATGTATGTATGCACAATGTGTATGTGTTGCCTGTTGAAGACAGGTGTCCGATCCTTTGAAATTTAGTTGCAACTGTTAGCCTCCATGTGGATTCTGGTAACCAAACTCGGGTCTTCTGCGAGAACAAGTGCTCTTATCCACAGAATCATCTTTCCAGTCCTGGGGTCAATGGGTTTCATTTGTTTTTGTTTTTGGAGGTCAGCAGTTAACTGTTTTTAAAATATGCATTGAACTCCTCATAAAACTGTAGGCTAAGAGGATAGGGTTTGATTGTGCAAATAATTGTGCCAAATTAGCATGTTGAATATGTGGATAATCATGGCACCTGCACACAGATGTGCACATACTCTGGCTTCCTAATGACACCCGGTACTCTGTCTCCAGACTAGCTGCCCAGAGTGTCCTGTGCATTGTGCCCCTCTTCTTAGATGGCAACACCTCCTTTCTACCTGAGAACAGCTTCCCAAGCCGATTCCAGCCATTCCAGGTAATAATCTAATAGCTCTGATGGTCTGAATCTTGGAGTTTATATCCTTTAGACTCAACTTTAGGACTGTTCTGGGATGGGAATAGGGACATACATGCCTACTACCGGTAAGACAGGCCCATCAGAGCTCTTCTTCCTTCACAGAATGGCTCCTCTGCGCAGAGGCGACTGGTTGCACTGCTTACAGCTTTTGTCTGCTCCCTGCCACGAAATGTAAGTGGGCACATTTGAGACTCTGGAACTCAGATGACCTTGGGCTGAGCTTTGCCACAGGCTAAGCTTTCTTGCTTCCCAATTTAAAGAAGTTCTTTTCCATGCTGATCTCTGATGTCACTTTCTATTGAGTATTTCTTGGAGTTCAAGTGTCTTCTGGGTCCATTACATGGCCAGGTTTTCTGTAGGTGGAAATCCCTCAGCTGAGCCGACTCATGCGGGAACTTCTGGAGCAGAGCTGCTGCCACAGCTGCCACTTCTCTTCCACTGCCGCCGCCAAGTGCTTCGCAGGACTCCTCAACAAGCACCCTCCAGGTACTGGGCTGGCCTGGGATAGAAGTCTTTCTTTGTTACCTAGTGATGAAATCTACACGTTTAGTTCTTGTTCTCCTTAAAGGAACTCATAATGACTTCATTTACTGTCCTCAGACAGTCTTGTCAGAGACTGGAGTTTGGCAGAGCATTTCAGGGTTCAAAACAAGAATAGAAGGAGCACATTCAACTCACTTCTGCCATCTTATTCCATCATGGTGCTAGCAAGAATAATTTTTTAAAAATAGATTTGTTTGCGAAACAAAAGAGATGGCTCAGTGATTAGGAGTATGTACTAGATTCCTGGATCAGTTCTCAGCAGCCATATCAGAAATCTTACAACAGTCTCTAAGTCTAGCTCCAAAAGATAATGACACCCTCTTCTAGACTCCAGGATTACCTACACTCAGATGTACATAGCTGTACACAGACACCTGCATACTTACACTTAAAGACAATAGTAAAAATATTTTTAAAAGGTGCTTGTCTTATGTATGTGTGTATGTATGTATGTATGAGTGGAGGGCATTGGATCCCCTGGAACTGAAGTTACATGTGGTTGTGAACTACTTTGTGGGTTCTTGGAGACATATGCTGGTCTTCTGCAAGAGCAACTAGTGCTCTCTCAACTGCTGAGCCTTTTTTTTTAAGTTTATTTATTTATTTTTAAAGATTTATTTACATATTTATTATATATATACAACATTCTGCTTCCATGTATTATCTCATTACGGATTATTGTGAGCCACCATTTGGTTGCTGGGAATTGAACTCAGGACCTCTGGAAGAGCAGCCAGTGCTCTTAACCTCTGAGCCATCTCTCCAGCCCCCTGAGCCGCCTTTTCTAGCCTCTTATGGTGTAAGTCTTTATTGGAGTAGACAACTCTCTCCTCAGGTACCAGCACCTTGCTATTAAAAGTACTGCACCAGACTCTGCTACTGGCATTCTGTCATTTTGATTGTCTTTTTCTAATAGCTTCTCAAGTACTGTGCACGTAAATGATTTACATCCTTTGTCATTAAAGGAAGAAGCTACATTGTCATTGTAACATTATGTACCTTTCTTCTTAGGGCAGCAGTTGGATGAATTCCTCCAGCTTGCTGTGGACGCAGTGGAGGCTGGCCTGGCCTCTGGATCTTCTCGTAATCAGGCTTTCGTTCTGCTGCTCTGGGTGAGGAGGTAGCATAGATACTGGTTAGATAGACAAAATATTCCTGTTTGTTTTTCTACTGCTGTGTTAAAATACCATGACTGAGATACCTTATAAAAAAATATTTAGGGGCTGGAGAGATGGCTCAGCGGTTAAGAGCACTGCCTGCTCTTCCAAAGGTCCTGAGTTCAATTCCCAGCAACCGCATAGTGGCTCACAACCATCTGTAATGAGATCTGGTCCCCTCTTCTGGCCTGTAGGCACACATGCTGACAGAATATTGAGAATAATGTATACATAATAAATAAATAAATCTTTTTTAAAAAGTATCTAATTAGGTTTACAACTGGTCTCAGGGTCAGAGTCCATTATGGCAGAGCAGAGGCATGATAACTGTAACAGCTGTGGGCTCACATCTTGATCCAAAATCAGGAGGCAGAGAAAGACACTGTGGCTTGAGTCTTGAAATCTCAAAGCATACCCCAAGTGACATACTTCCCAGCAAAGTAATCTTCTCTGAACAGCACCAACTGGGAACCAAGTATCCAGATGGCTAAGACTTATGGGAGACATCTCATTCAAACCACAAAAGCCCCCAAGCCACCATTTGTAACAAGGGTGCCTTGGAGTTCTGGAGTTTGAATGTCAGACCCTGACTTCTCTTTTCTCTTACAGGTAACCAAGGCTTTAGTCCTCAGATACCATCCTCTCAGCACCTGCCTTACCACCCGAGTAAGTCTTTCCTGAGACATAATTGGGATCTAAACAAGAACCTCCTTTTGATCCCATTTCCCTCTTACTACTTGTATTTTTGTTGGGCATGGTACCACATGCCTTTTACCCGAGGCACTCAGGCAGAGGCAGGCAGATCTCTGAGTATAAGGCCAGCCTGGTCTGCCTAGAGAGTTCCATGACAAACAGAGCTACCTGTCTCAAAAGAAAAAGCGTATTATGTGTATATTTTGCTTGTGTGTACACATGCTTGCCTGCTGCCCAAGGAGAACAGAGGACACAGCAAGATACCCTGGAAATAGGGTATAAATGTTTGTAAGACATCTTGTGGGTGCTGGGAACTAAACCCAAGTTCTCTAAATGAACAGTAAATGCTTTCAACCACTATCCACGTATCCAGCCCCTTATTATTCTTATAAGACTTTCATCCTTTTTGTATTTGAGAGTTTTCTTTCCAGCATACCAAAAGGCTCGCTTATTTATTTGTTTGTTTGTCTCTCTGTCTGTCTATTTATTTTGGTCCCACCAGCTCATGGGCCTCCTCAGTGATCCAGAACTAGGTCCTGCAGCAGCCGATGGCTTCTCTCTACTCATGTCTGACTGCACTGATGTGTTGACTCGTGCCGGCCATGCTGATGTTCGGATTATGTTCCGCCAGCGGTTCTTCACAGACAATGTGCCTGCTTTGGTCCAAGGCTTCCATGCTGCTCCCCAAGGTGTCTGAAAGCTTAACCCCAAATCCATGGACATCTCCTTGGCCAGTCTCTACAGTAATTTAAGACCCAGATGCTTTATCCTCAGAGTGTTCTGCACCTACAAAGCCACACTTCCATCCCTTTTCCTTGATGGGTACATTGGAGCTATTGTGAGCTTAAGAGTCTTAGAGAGAGAGAGAGAGAGAGAGAGAGAGAGAGAGAGAGAGAGCGCGCGCGCGAACATGTTCATGTGGAAGCCAAAAGTCAACATCAGCTATCTTTTATTAGATTTTTTTAACTGCATACTACATTATGTATCTGTGGAGGTCTTTCCTTCCACCACATAGATTCCAAGGATTGAACTCAAAATTGTCAGGCTTAACAGCAGTGCCATTACCTTGCTGGTCTTTCATTGTTTATATGTTTATATGTTTGTTTATGTGTATGTGCTCAGGGATCAAAGAACAACTTGTAAAAGTTATACCAAATGGGTTCCAGGGATTGAGCTCAAGTCATATAGGCAAGAGCCTTGATATCTCAGTGAACCTAGATTGGCTAGCCAACAAGCCCCAGCTGCTCTATGTCCACTCCCCCAAGGCTGGCATTACAGGTGCACATTTTCCTGCCACACTTAACCTATTTACATAAGGTTCAGTGGGACTTGAACTCAGGTCTACATGTTCACAAAAAGCACTTGATCCCTGAGCTATCTTCCCTAGCCTCAACCCCATGTTTAAACAGGTCTTATGCTGTAGATCAGGCTGGCCTTGACTTCCCCTTCCTCTGCTTGCTGAGCGCTGTAACTATTGCCTTCAGCTATCACACTCCCTACTCATTATAGGCTGATAATTCTCAAACTGAATGTCTAACCCGTTTTTCTTCTAAGCATCATCTTTTTCTTTTTCCCTCAGATGTGAAGCCAAACTATCTAAAGGGTCTGTCTCATGTACTCAACAGGCTGCCCAAGCCTGTGCTTTTACCAGAGCTGCCCACAGTGAGTCCTACAATCACCCCTCAGAAAGGGAGAGGGCAGATAAAGATCCAAGACCATAATGTGCATCCCATTTCCATTGGTTCTTAGCTCCTTTCCTTGCTGCTGGAGGCACTGTCCTGCCCTGATTCGGTGGTCCAGCTTTCTACTCTCAGCTGTCTCCAGCCTCTTCTACTGGAAGCACCCCAAATCATGAGTCTTCATGTTGATACTCTGGTCACCAAATTCCTGACCCTCAGCTCTAGTCCTTCAATGGTGCGTTGAGCCCTAGCATATCCTTTAGTACCTTTCACCTTTTGTGTGCCCTGACCTCATTTGTGTTCCAGGCTGTCCGGATTGCTGCTCTGCAGTGTATGCATGCCCTCACTAGCCTGCCCACTCCTGTGGTAAGTCTCAAGAGTCAGAAATGCTTGTTTAATGCTGTTGTCCAAGCTGGCCTGACTTGCTATGATCATCCTACTTCAGTGCTGGGGTTACAAGTGTGGACTGCCACACCTGATTAGTACTTGCTTGCTCTCAAGTGAGATTAGCCACCCAATTCTGTGTGAGAAGATAGAGCTGCATACATCGTACACATAGATAAACATAGATTCCCCCTACACATCTTGAACCTGACCCTCGTAACACTGGTAATCCTGACCTTTCCCATCAAATTAGAATCATTAAAGGATAAGGCACATGGGATATATTTAATGTGTGAGGCTGGCGTTCAAACTTTCAGATTAAAGGGGAGGACATAGAGCTTGAGAGATGGCTCATTACTTAAGAGCACTGGCTATTCTAGAGTATCCAGGTTTGATTCCCAGCACCCACATGGCAGCTCACAACCATTTGTAACAGTCCTGGGGGATACACCCATATATTGAAAACCATTCTTAAAAGTGGGTCACATTTCACTTCCATCAAGATGTTATAGGTGTCAGAGAAGCAGAATTTCCCATTTCTCATTCCAGCAAGAGTAAGATGATGTCCTCTGACTTCACAGCTACTGCCATACAAATCCCAGGTGATCCGGGCCTTAGCCAAGCCTCTGGATGACAAGAAGAGACTTGTGCGCAAGGAAGCAGTGTCTGCGAGGGGAGAATGGTAAGCTGTAGACTGAAGGAAGTGGTGGGACCAATGAAAAACTCAAGGTAATGTTGTAACATTATTTGTGCCTACAGGTTTCTGCTGGGGAGCCCAGGTAGCTGAACCCTTGGTCCTGGCCTAGCCCCTTCTGACAATCTAACCTGCAGCAGGGACTAACTATTGAGCCATCCTCCAAGGCAAGGAGACCACTGACCTGTCTTCCCCATGGATACAGTACAGATGCTGGATCCCTCCTGCATGGCTGTGCAAGACAAGACACTTGAGTTCTAATTTCTAGTGGATTGTTGAAGAAACTGAATGGGCCTTGTATTTGGGGGAAAAGATGTTGGATCTTGGGGCTCCCCTGTATCAGGAAAAGGCAGCTTTTCTTGTTGAAGGACAAATGCAGTTGAGTGTGACCTTGGGGGCCAGGGATGGTGTTGTGTGTTCATTTGCCAGAGAATAAAAAGATTTTTTTTTTTTTTTTTTTGGTAATGGGTGGATTGACATGTATTCCCTTTATCCTACATATGCTGTAATAGCACATAGAGTTCTGGAGAGCCTCTAGCTCTTCAAAATAAGGAGACAACAAACTTAGCAGGCCTTCTTTATCTAGACCTCCCCGACACCAAGGCAAACACCGAAGCTATTCATCTTTACAAATCAAATGCCTTTATTTTTGCTCCTTCTGCAGCACGTGAGAAATGGCAGTGACCTTGGCAATAGGCTTATTTTCTTTGTCCCATTCAGAAGCCAGAATTTCAACATACGTGACAGAATCTTTTCCCAAAGTGAGAGATGGTGCTAGCCCCAGTGCTGTGACCTAGAGGACATCAAAGTCAGCATTGGATAAGGTAGCTAGTTGCCTGACCCCTGGTCTGGGGCTAAAACTTGTTTGCCTGAGTAAGGGACATCAGTCGTAGGATTTCTCCACTTTTTTTTTGTTTTGGTTTGGTTTATTGAGACAGGGTTTCTCTGTGTAGCGTTGGCTGTCCTGGAACTTGCTCTGTAGACCAGGCTGGCCTGGAACTCAGAGATCCACCTGCCTCTGACTCCCGGGTGCTAGGATTAAAGTCATGCGCTGCTGCCACCCAACTGTATCTTGTTTTGAGATGGCCAGAAGATTGCTCTTGAGTTGTCCCTAAGTAGTACTCTAAGGCAGGTCTAGTGGCTCTTTATGGTCATGGATTCCAAGAAAAGCTGCCCTTGGAAGTTCTTGAAAGAGACATAACAAGCATCGAACAATAATTCAAGTTGTGACTCACACAGCCATCACAGAGGCTGAATGAGCAGTCACCCAGGGAGGAGGGTCCCAGGTCATTCCATTCCCATGGGGTAGGTGACTAGAAGGTAACAGCACCCGGGTCAGCCAGTGCCTGTGAGAAATGACCAAGAAAACATGCCTTTAATTCTGAGTTCTTGGTTGGATGTCCAAGCAAACATCAAACATGAAGATGATGAGAGTTCTAATCTCAGAACTGTATCCTCTGGGGTTCTAAAGCCATCAAGCATGCTCTCTCCTGTGACTTACAAGTGCTAGGATTACAGATGTGCACAATTGTGCCTGGCCTAATAATTTGCAGTTTGAAAAATGGTTTTCTCTTGTCTCATGGACTGAATAGAGCTAGCCTCATATTGCTGTTGGATCCCTGCAACATGTAGGTCGGTCACCTCAGTCTCTCACACTGTCAAGTAAAAGAACTGGCACCTACTACATCCTACCTATGTACCCATCCTTAAGAACTGCATTCTCAGTACTCTCTGTAGTCGCCTTGAATAGTAGCTCTTAAACCATAGTTCTAGGGCTATAGAGATGGCTCAGCAGTTAAGACTACTTGTTGCTCCTACAGAGGACCTGGGTTTGATTCTTAGCAGCCACACAGCGGCTTATAACCATCTACAATTTCAGTCCCAGGGGATCTATTCACTGTCCTCTCCTGACTTCACAGGCACCATGCATGCACATGATGATATGCATATAGCAAATGTTTCCTTAAATTTATAGTTTTAGCCTCAGGCCCCAGTGGTTCAAATAAAATGGCAGCTATTCCTGAGAATGAAACCTAATTACAAATTCCTCAGTGGGACTAGCCACATTCTCGGCTTCTGTAGACAGACCATTTTCCCTGTCATGGGAGTTTGGTTCCACAGCACTGTCTTTACCTTCACCCCAATTACAATCTCTGCTTCGGGGTATGGATCATCTTCCCCCATCACAAAGCTGTTACATAGCACTGCTGTCTGTCTTTACCTTCCTGTGTCCACACCTAGGAACACCTTCCAGTTGTCCAAGCAGCCGTAGTTGTAAGGATTCCTAAATACCTAGAGACAAGAAAAAAATACATTTCTACAAACCTCATCTGCTTAATCTCATCTTGGAGATAAGGTTAGAGCTCCAGTAATCAAAATTAAGACTTTTTAGAATTTATCTAGTCAGCCCTGATCATGAGCTGTTTATTACCCACCTGCTCACCCAGGTCCCCTCTTCCCCACTCACTCTGCCCTTGGCCTGTAACCGACGTCTCTCCTTCTTGTTGATATGTCTTTCGATGCTAGTCTCACCCCGACTGATGAGAACAGCATGCCATATGGTTAGGGCACCCAGAGCCAGTGCCACAGAACTAAGAAAGGCACAAATGGGTAGAAATTAGAAGCTAGAAAAGTGGGAAATGAAGCTTGTGATTATGACTGGCTCATAGCCTCTGCCTCACTTCCCTTATCTCATATATGGCCTAGGTGAACATGTATTCTACCTCTTAAAGATCTAGTGTGGCTGAAAAGATGGCTCAGCAGTTACAGCAGTTAAAGGCACTCAGAGGTCCTGAATCCAATTCCTAGCAACCACGGGGTGGCTCACAACCATCTGTAAAGAGATCTGGTGCCCTCTTCTGGCCTACAGGCATACATGCAAGCAGAACATTGTGTACATAATAAATTAATAAATCTACTTATTTGTTTTTTTGGGTCAGGGTTTCTCTGTAGCTTTGGAGTCTGTCCTGGAACTAGCTCTTGTAGACCGAGGATCAGCCTGCCTCCTGAGTAGTGCTGAGATTAAAGGCATGTGCCACTACTACCTAGCATAAATTAATAAATCTTTTTTAAAAGATCTGTTAAAGTGAGTTTTTAAAAATGTATACAGAAAGGAATATGGGAAAATAAGTATGCTGAGAAAAATGTAGATTTCCTTAAAAATGTCCATACTTAGAAAATGGCGGAGGGAGCTGGAGAAATGGCTGAGCAGTTCAGAGTATGAACTGCCCTTCCAGAGGACCTGAGTGTACCCACATGGCAGCTCACAACTGTCTGTAACTCTAGTTCAATGGGACAAGACACCCATGGCAAAACACCAATGTACATAAAAATTAAAAAATTAGGGTTGGAGAGATTTTGAGTGGTTAAGAGCACTACCTGCTCTTCCAGAGGACTCAGGTTCAATTCAGCACCCACATGGCAGCTCAAAACTGTAACTCTAGTTCCAGGGGACTCAACACCCATGGCAGAGGGTAGAACAACAATGCATTTTTTTTTTTTTTTTTTTTGGACAGGGTTTCTGTAGCTTTGGAGCCTGTCCTGGAACTAGCTTTTGTAGACCAGGCTGGCCTCAAACTCAGAGATCCACCTACCTCTGCCTCCTGATTACTGGGATTAAGGGTGTGCGCCACCACTGCACAATGCACATTTTAAAAAAAGAAGAAAATAGAGAGCCCGGCATGGTGGTGTACACCTTTAATTCCAGTATTCAGGAGATCTCAGTACAGGCAGATCTCAATGAGTCTTGAGGCCAGCCAGTCCCAGAACAGCCAGGGCTACATAGAGAAACTCTGCTATGATAAACAAAAAAACAAACAAACAAAAAAGTAGAGGATCATATAAGCATAAGAGGTTGGAATGGGGGTTGGCAGAAATTCATAATTCTACTCTATAACTCCTAGCTACACATCATAGGACAAATCCCTTTACTTCTCTGAGTTTTCAATTTCCCTTCTCAGTAAATGGAGTTACTTGTTTTGTGGTTAGGAATCAATAAAAACAATAGCTCAACTTACCTTGGTACATAACAAGAATGATTGTATTAATAACCTGCAATGCCACAGAACTCTTTGACAGCCTCAGTTAGACTAAGACTATGGCAGGTTACCTAGAGTTGAGTCCTTCCTGTGTGTGGGCACCTACAAAGGTTTTCTTATGTTTCCCTCCCTTAAAACTACCAAAACTGAGTTAAATACCTGCACAGGAACCAGAGGTAGACAAGACTCTTGTGAGTTATTCTTTCCCGAAAGGAGAAGGTAGGTGGTGGAGTCTGGTGGTAAGTCTATAAAAAGAAAAGAGCAAAGCCTGGCTCCCTTGCTCTCAGTCTTCAGCAACTGTCACCAGAGCCCCAAGCACCTACAGGCAGGAATTAATAAAACTAGCAGATAAAAATAGGGATTAAAGCCACAGAGGAAATCAGACCAGCAGCCAGATGGGTGGACCAAGCCTGGTGGCACCATCACACAGACAGACAGTGGGTAGAGCAGGTCTGGACAAGATAGCAAAGCACAAAAGGGGCTGAGTTGTAGGTTGACAGCAGTAACGGGACTCCAGGGGAAGCCACTCCTATCTCTAGCCAACCACATTCCCTTCACTCTGACTTACATCCACTAGAGATAGATCTGTACCTCACATGGACTAACGGCGGGGGACAGGGTGTTGTGAAAAAGCAACAGGAGTGCTATATACAAGTCGAAGATGTCCACAGATTCACAGAATAAGGGGTCCTAATAGGAACAGGGAAGGGGAAATGATCCTGAAGCTATTCACCCAGCATGGTATCTGTCCCCTGGAACCCCATTACACAGACTAACAGACCCCTTGCTGCTCAGGCTATCAGGAAGGCAGAGTCTAGGCTAGGCTCAGCCCAAAGAAGTGATGATGGGATAGATTACTTAAAACTTTCATACCAGAGACTTCCAGCTTGCCCCCAGGCTACTTAGTTTACTTAGAAACTTCTGGCCTGGTCTGGCAACTAGCCTGCAGGCCCTTTCACATAAATGACTCTTAACCCCCCAGGCCTGAGCAGCAGGAGGCAGTGGTGTGGAGACTGCCCACCTGATTGGCAATTGCCTGTAGTTTGTTCTTGTCAAGCTGTTTCATTTTCTAAGGGGACGGAAAACAGTGCTGGTTATACTCTTGGGCCACTAGGACAACCCAATCATTGGGAAAAGGTTTCTGTTCTGTTGAGTTCTCTTCCTAACCATGGGCTCACCTCGATGGCAGCGTAAGCCTCTCGGAAAAGGTCCCAACTTCCATAGCTACAGTAGACACAACCCAGAGTCATGAAAAAGCAGAAAGAGAAGAAGTAGCGATGGTTATAGTGGCCCACACAATTGTTTAGCCAGGCTGGTGGAGGAATGATTAAGGACAAGATCAAATACATAACTTGAGGGTGTCCAAGCCCCTACAGCTCATCCCTTAGTTCAAGGCATCACCCAAGCAAAGGCAAGAAAATAGAGGACAGTTTCCCAAGGTTAAGGTAAAAATTGTCCAAGCTTTTCAGAGCTTTCAGATTCCAAGAATCTTAACTACCTGCAAATATTCAACCTAACTCAGGCTAGCCAGACATCTGCATGGAAAGACAAAACGGGACCCACGATTGTATCTGGCGCCTCTAGCCACAGAGGCCCAAACACGTTTTGATTCTCCACAAAAGACCTTCCAGGAGAGCTGGAGAGAAAGCTCAGCAGTTAAGGGCACTGACTGCTCTTCCAGAGGACCTGGATTCAATTCCCAGCACCCACATGGCAGCTCACGTCTGTAACTCCAAGATCTGACACCTTCACACAGACATATATGTAGGCAAAACACCAGTGCACATAAAATATTTTTTAAAAAGATCTTCCAGAAAATTCCTTTCTCCTACAAGATCCATTCTAGAAGCCTATAAACATTCTGCTCCCCCACCCAAAAAGATGGTATGCCCTCAACAATGCCTCTTCTAACTTCTCATGAGTCAGTATTCTCTGGAGATTGATGGTAATTAGAAAGCCTTGAGCTTGTGCCTATGAACCCTGTGCAGTGACTGCTCTGAGGGTAAAACCGATGGTCCTGGCTGGGTCTTGGGCTGAAGAGAGCAAAAGGATACGGCAGTGATGATCCATCTTCAGCACACACCTGTGAGGGAGGGACACAGGCTGTGTTACGATGGCCAAGGATCTTGAGATGTCAGTGACAAGGCTTTCCTACTAGGACCAGCATCCAGCTGAGGTAGAAAGGGCACAGACTCTGATGACAGCCAGGCCTTCCTTCAAACCCAGTTCTGTTGTTTATTGGCTAGGTGACAAGGAAACATCTCGTCACCTAGTTTGTACAAGCAGCAATAATGCCTCCCTCACAGGATCATACTGAAGACTAGGTGTCAACAGATGGGAAGCACAGTGATAGGTACTCTGACACACAATTAACTAATTCCAGAGCCAGGTTTGGCCCTAGGGTTCTAGCAAGAGAATTTCAAATAAGATTTACAGCAAAGTCAAGACCCACCTATTACAGATGCTGCAGTGGTGTGTTCGGGCTGGTTTGGGGTAAATGCACTTCTTACAGATGGAGACAGTAGCAATGTCATTCCTGCCCTGTGCAAATTGAAAAGAACATCTTAACCACTACAGCACGACAAAATTTCTGCCTCAAAAGATTCCAAGTCACTCTCCCTCCCATTAATGGAACTGGCTACCACAGCGTGCAACTCTGCTCCTCCCCATATCCCTGTGGGGTCCCACCTGGGGTGGGTATCCAGGAGGAGTGGTGATGGCCTGGTAGTAATGGAAGACGATGAGGATCAGATTCCAGTGGCTATAGAAGAAATGCCAGCAGAGTCGTGGTACTGAGTAGGTTCGAAGGATGAGGGGCAGGACACACAGATAAGCAATGGCCACAATGGACCCAGTCAGCACGATCACCAGCACCACAAACACCTGCCAACACCAGTGAGGTCAAGAAGACAACATGAGAGAGCTATACCCATCAAGACTCAGGAACTTCCCTGGGCACGGAAGGTCGGGTTCCAAAGCTTAGTGTGAGCCCATCAGAAACACATCGTCTTCCCTCCTGAGCCTCATCACTCACCACTCCAAACCAGCGGATCACATTGTCCACCAGCCAGTAGACAGGCTCAAAGGCAGCGTCAATAGCGGTGTCACTGCCTCCAAAGGAGTTGTAGAGCAGGGAGCGCAGGCAAACCTTTCCATAACGCCAGCGCTGTACCAGGCCCCGGAGCAGAGGTGGGCAGCGACGCCTGTAACCCAGGAGCAGAAGGAGACGAAGGCAGAGGCGGGCTGGGCCCAAGAGCAGACTGCGCTGACCCCGCATGGCTCCTAGGAGAAAATACTAATATAAGGATCCAGCCTGATCCTTGTCTTATCCTACCCCATCAATGAGAAGGCCCAAAGCATCAATTTAGAGGACTTCTCAAAATTAAGGCCAAATTAGGCTATTAGGTTAGCCATCAGCTGTGGAAAGACAAAAAAGTCACTTTTCTATAGACTTTCCAACCATATTACAGGAGGTAGGGACTGAAGGTTCTCAGCCTACAAAAGTAGTATTTACATTATACTACCTGATCATGCAGCAAATCCCGGATAGTTTACACCTGAAGGGCTGCAGTACCGGGAGAAACAGTTGGCCAAGTCAGAGGAGTCCTGTGTGTGTACAGCACATGTGTGGAGGCCAGAAGTGGGTATCGGGCATTTCTTCCCTAGTCACTCTCCACGTACTTTTTTTTTTTGAATGAATGCTTGCCTGCATGTATGTATGTGTATCATGTATGTACCCAGTGTCCAAAGGTCAGAAGAGAGTGTCAGATCCCCTGGAGCTAAAGTTACAAATGGCAGTGAGTTACCATGGAAGTGCTGAGTCTTCTGCAAGAATAGCTGGTGTTTGACTGGGCATGGTGACGTGTCCCTACTCCCAGCACTCAGGAAGCAGGCGATCTAAGTTCAAAGCTAACCTGGTCTACAGGGCAAGCTCCAGGACAGCCAGGTCTACACAGAAAAACCCTGTCTTGAAAAACCAAAATAATAACAGTAACAACAATGACGAACAGCAAGTATTCTTAACTGCTGAGCCAACCCTTCAACTACCCGCTGCACCAACCCCTGACACATATATACACCTTTTATTTCTTTTTTGAGACAGGGTATTTCACTAAACCTGAAACTCACCAATTCAGCTACTCAAGCTCCAGGGCCCACCTATCTCTGCCTCTCCAGCACCAGGAATAGAGACAGACACACTGGTCTTTTTACATGAGGTCGGTGGGATCAAACTTAGGTCACCATGCTTGTGGAGCAAATACTTTAACAGCTAAGCTCAGAGTTTTTTGTTTTAAAGATACCTGTCTAGAAAGAGGATGGAGTAACGTTTAACCAACGTAAACAAAGCAGCTGCCACTGTATCTTACCAAGGTGTTGAAGCAATATGTGTGTATGTGGAGGGGGGGTCCCCGGATCTCCTGCTTACTCTGTAATATCCAAGATCCTGAATCTAGAACTCTCCTGGTCCTATCCCAGTGTTCCTACTCCCATCTGGGCTGGGATTATAGGCCAACCAGATGACATGATTCCTCATTCCCCTTAGGACAGTCTGCCACCACTTGCATGACATAAGATACTTTGTCTCCAATTCCACTCCCAGCCCTAACCCTAGGGTTATAGCAGCCAAGGTAACTTCAGGTATTCAGAGCACAAGACAAGTGGTAGGAGGGACCTGCCCCCTTGGGAGCTTTTCCAGGTCTTCTCTGATTAAGCACCATTTTTGTGACTGATGCTCACAGCCCTAAGCTTCCCAAGCACTCCATCCTGGCTCTCAGCACTCTCCATGGTCCCTCTTAATGTGCCTGCATCTTGCACTCTTTCCAAGCAATGAATACAACTCTGGACACAGAGACTCCAACAGGCTTTCCACGATAGTCTCATTAGCTGCATAAAAATAATGTTTTAACGTTGGACAGGGAATGCTGCTTTGTCTTCAGCAACCCCACTGACTTATTTAACAGGCAGCTCACAACCCAGCAGAAACTGGACCTGGTCACTCTGCTGTGGAGATGGGTTTCAGTTCAGTAACTGGAGTAATGTACTCTCCTTGCACCCTGGTTGATCCCCGTAAAAGGCTTTTCAAAGAAAATAGCTAATTATTTCCCTTCACAAGCTTGGAAACCCAAAGGTGAAAAGAAATTGTCCAAAAAAAGGCCTAAAAGAAAACTGAAGCTTAGTGGGACAGACCTATAGACACTGCACCAGGGTAAGAAACTAGCCTTTCCATCACTTCCTAAGAAGCAAAAAGAATTAACAGAAAAAGTAGAAAAGAAAAACTGAGGTTGGCAGTAGTGGAGCATACCTTTAATTCCAGCAACCAGGAAGCAGAGGCCAGCCTGCTCTACCAAGCCGAGTTTCAGAATAGCCAGAGCCACACAGAGAAACCCCATCTCAAAAAAACAAAAACAAGCCAGGCAGTGGTGGCGCACGCCTTTAATCCTAGCACTCGAGAGGCAGAGGCAGGTGAATCTCTGTGAGTTGGAGGCTAGCCTGGACTACAGAGGAAGTTCCAAGAAAGGCTCCAAAGCTACAGAGAAACCCCATCTTGAAAATTAAAAAAAGAAAGAAGGGAAAAAAAAGAGAAAAAGAAAACTTAGAACATCATACTCACACCATCTCTGAGTTGAATTGCTATTACTTAGAATCATGATCTGGAAAATCATGAATTTTGTAGCGGGCCACAACCAAGTATCGGCATGGAATGGAGCTCCCTGTCCCACAGCAAGGTACCACCACACATTCTCTTTGTAGGAGTAATGGAGAGTGCTCTAGTTGCTGGAATGCTTTTTATAGCGAAGGTGTGAAAAACTCAGGTAATTTCCTAATTTGTAATAAATGCAAATTATGTCACCTCCGAGCTATTATGGTTAGTCTTTTTAAAAAGGTCCTCAAAAAGCTAAGCGTGGTGGTGCATACCTTCAATTCCAGCACTCAGAAGACAACTCAAGTTGATCTCTGTGAATTCAAAGCCAGCCTAGTCTACATAGTGAGTTCCAGGACAGTCAGAGCTATGTAGTGAGACCCTGTCAAAAAAATACAAATTCTTAAAACTGAGCATGGTGGTGTAAGTACACCTGGAGGTATGAGGACCAGAAGGTCAAAATCACCCTTGGCTACACAGCCAGTTAGAGGCCAACATGAAAGACATGAGACTATGTCTTAATCAATCAATCAATCAGTCAATCAGGGCTGGAGAGATGGCTCAGAGGTTAAGAGCACTGACTTCTCTTCCAGAGGTCCTGAGTTCCATTCCCAGCAATCACATGGTAGTGCACAACTATCTATAGTGAGATCTGGTGCCCTCTTCTGGTGTGTAGGAATACATGCAGGCAGAACACTGTATACATAATAAATAAATCTTTAAAAAAATTTTTTAATCAGATTGTCGGTCACCTCCTACATTCTTGATTCTGAATGAAATGCCTACTTCAAAGGTTAGATTGACCAATTCTCTTCTATGGATACCCTATTTAAGATTCAATTCTTTTCCTAAGTAGTCCAGTAACCTCCTTCTCTAAACCTTAATTTTTTTGCTGTTGTTTATCTTTTTCGAGACAGGGTTTCTCTATATAACATCTATAGCTGTCTTGGAACTTGCTTTATAAACCAGGCAGGCCTAGAACTTACAGATATCCACCTGTCTCTGTCTCCCGTGTGCTGGGATTAAAGGCATGCAGCACCATACCTGGCCCAAACTTTTTATACATACAAATATGCATGTTTGCACACACACACACACACACACACACACACACACACACACAAAATGTGGCCAAGGTTTAAATCAGATGCTTATGAACATCTTAGAATAATACCTGGCCCCAACAAGCATTCAATGAATACCTGTGGTTGAATGAATGGCCTGGAGAGACACAAAGCTGGTCAGCTCTACAGAAGCCAGCAAGGACACTCTTGCCGAGGTGATAACATCAAATTATTTGTTGCTCTCATTCTTTCTGATTAGTAAAGAAATAGAACCACTATTAGAATCGTAGCACCAAAGAACCAATAATACATTTTATAGGGCAAATCAAACCAGAAACCAAACATGTAAAATTCAAAGCTTGCAGATGCTGATCAAATTTGAGTGACCAAAATATGAAGCCAGACCCCTCTCCTCACTTTAGTTAGTGGGCCATGGGGACAACGACAGTGCTAGGAAATGTATAGTCCATAGGTCAAAAGTGAAGCAGAGGTTTTACCTCAGGAAATAGAGAAAAGGCATATATTTTAAACCTAAGTGTGGCAAGAGGGCCTGGATGCCTTCAGGGACAAGCACAGTTCCTTCGAACCATTAGCAGTGAGTGTCCCCCTCAGCAGTAGATGGCCACAGTGGCCATCTGCCACCAGATTAGAGACTAGCAAAAACAACAACAGCCCTCCCCTAAATCACCATCTGTGTCCCAAAGAAGCCGGATTGGCAGAGAGGGAAGGGGAGAAAGGAATAAATTCCAATACCAGCAGATGAAACCGCGATCAAAGTCATGGTAAATTTCATCTGCACAAAAAAATGCTGCTCCCCTGACCTCTGCCACCTCAAGCACAATATTCTATTTATGGAGGCTTCTTTCCCGGCAAACAAGCTAAAACGAAAAGAAGAAGGCAAAAGAAGCGGTAATGTTAACGTCGAGCTGCTCATTCACAGTTGAGGGGCTCACCCTCTAAAGTGTCTGCCCGCAAGAGAAGAATCTGTGGTTTGACAAAACCAGAAAAAGGTCATCTCCAAGAGCAGCGGAGTCCAACTATGATGGGATCAAGTCAAAAAATAGGTTTAGGCTGTCTTCGAGACTTTGAACAAATCAAACCTTGTCTCTGGATCTGAGTCTCCAAACCCGTGAAATGGGCAAGTTGGAGGGGCAGACTGGGGTTGAGGTGCGCTCAGACTCAGGAGGGCACAGCCACGCAGGACTGGGCATGGAGAGAACAGGAACTTGAACTTAAAGGCCTGGACACCTGACACTCGGGTGGGAGGCAAGCGCTGCGTCCTCGTCCTTACCTGCCCCTGCCAGCTTCTCAATCAGCCAAATTCAGTCCAGTCGCCCTGCCCGCCGCTCAGTGCCTTTGGCTTCAGCTCGGGATCCGAGCCAGGCCAATCTCAGGCTGACCCACCATTGCCCACAGTCCACAGTGGCAGCCAGCGGACCGGGTCCCGCCGCCCGCCCATCATCACCCAGCTGCGCAGGCGCGAGTCCCAGAGCCCGCAAAGACGCACCCAGAGATCTATCCCGGGGCAGCCTGGGAAATGGAGTCCGGCCTCGCTCTCGCCTCGGCGAGGTCAAAAGTGCCAATTGCTGCACGTGTTACTGCGGAGCCGCTCCTCTAGCTGACCAATGAACACTTGCCTTCATTTTCATCCGGGTTTTGGACAGGGACAAGCATGGCACCACCTGTGAGGTACTGCATCCCCGGTAAGTGAGCGGTCTCCGCAAGCAGTCCCATACTGCGTGACAACCAGTCTCTGGGTGCTCGTAGCTGATGCGCCTTTTCTTCTGCAGGCGAACGTCTGTGTAACTTGGAGGAAGGCAGCCCCGGGAGCGGCACCTACACCCGGCACGGCTACATCTTTTCGTCGCTGGCGGGCTGCCTGACGAAGACCAGCGAGAATGGGGCGGTAAATGAAGCGGTTACCCAGCGCGCGTTCTCCCTCAGGCTTGCCACTGAGTTCTGGTCCTTGTGCACAGGCACTGCGGACGCGAGCTTGGGTGACAGCGGGATGCTTTGGTCTCTCGATTTCTCCCAGCTATGATCCTAATGCCGTGCCAGAGCACAGCCTCTGCACACCGGTTATGTTATCTGGCTTGGTTGTGGCTGCGCTAGCAGAAGGACATGGAAAAGAGGGGGAGGTCATGCAAATTGAGAGTAGCCCAGGCAACAGAGGGCTTCCTGGTCGCTTCCTGGTCCTGTCTCTCCCTTACACCTTGAAATGACTCTGCTTTCCCACCTCCGTGACATCAGTGTACTGCTGGCGATTTTCAGTGTCCTAATGCTCTAAGTTTTTCCCTGCCTCGCAGCCTATGCACGTGCGGCCTATCTGGAACATAACTGAACCCCGTAACTCTAACCTCTTTTAAATGACCTCGATAGTCTTTTTGTTTGTTTTTTTCCAGAGAAGCCGGTCTGGACCCACTAATTGGAAAAAAAAAAAAATGGAGTTTTGGTGGGAGTAGGATTGTTATGCGCAAGAATCTTCCTCCAGAAAACTTATTTAAATATGTTACTCTTTCTTACATTTACCTCGCTAAGATTCTTGCCTATCTAGACTTCTAAGTGTAACCATGCATGGTGGTACACGACTGTATTCCCAGCTACAAACAGGCACAGATAAAGAAGTGGTTGACAAATGTAAGGCAATAAAAAATTAAGAATTAAAACCTTAGGCTGGACTTAGCAGTACAATGCCTGAGTAGCATGCCGAGCTTGAACCAGAGAGCCAAACTCCCAACTCTGCTTGAAAAAAAAAAAAAACTAAAAAGAATCAAAACTCTTTAGGGACTCGCTAAACCTAAACTTCAAGCTTTGGGTTTTTGCTTATTTGTAAAAACAGGTTCCAGTCGATTGGTTTTGGAAATAAACTTATATGTCTGTTTATTAACTACATAGATTTCTCTTGCTCACTTTCACGTGTCCTGCACAGTGGTGCCCTGACTCCTGGGGATATAGTCCTGAGCCAGATACACTTAGCTTTGCTGCCAAGGAGGCACAGACACAAATCATAAACAAATGTACAAATATGTGTTGCTTGGGAATTGGATGTCTTCAAAAGGATTGCACAGTAGAGTGAGACCATGTAACAAGCTTTATGGCCATGATTCTCGATAGTGAAATAATGTGTCGGCTGAAACATCTGAAGGATAAATAGAGGTGGAGGGGTGGAAAGAACATGGTTCTAACCGGGCAGTTACGCCTTTCTTCCCAACACTTAGGAGGCAGAAGCAGGCTGATCTCTGGGTTTGAGGCCAGCCTGGTGTACAAAGCGAGTTCCAGGACAGCCAGGGCTACTCAGAGAAACTCTCTCTCGGGGGGGAAAAAAAAAGAGAGAGAGGGAGAGAGAGAGAGAATGCAATTCTGACATAAAGAATGGGCTAAACAATTTGAAATGGAAAGAAATTAGTAAAACAGGAAAACAAAAGCACAGAGTAAGAGAAGTACCGCTTTTTTTTTTCAAAGACAAGATTCGATTACATCAATTGCCTGCCATTAGATGGGATAAAACAGGAATTATCATTCTATAACGTTTAATTGTAAATCCTATCTTTTTCAGATTTTTTTTTAAAAAAAGCAGCTGGGCAGTGGTGGTACACGCCTTTAATCCCAGCACTCAGGAGGCAGGCGGATCTCTGTGAGTTCAAGGCCAACCTGGTCTACAGAGGGAGTTCCAGGACAGGCTCCAAAGCTACACAGAGAATCCTTGTCTCAAAAAACAAACAAACAAATAAAAGCAGACTAAGTTTGGAAGAGCCAAGATAGCCATAATTATAAGCAATATGATTATATATCAAGAAACCGCAAGAGCATCTTCAAAAATTTAGTACTAATCAGAGATGTACCTATTAAATCTGACAGCCTAATTCTATGGTCTCTTATACTCTTTCTTTCCTTTTTTTTTTTAATTTTCTAAAATTACTAATATCCTCTGCAATGGACTACAAATATACCTATAGTCTACCTTGTGACCGCACTGTTCTAAGACAGTTCTGTATTATTCTCAAGCCACAGTTATCTTTACCCAACATCGACTTTTCCTCTCTTTATAGCTTCCTGTGGTATCTGTGATGAGAGAAACAGAGTCCCAGCTCCTTCCAGATGTAGGAGCTGTTGTCACCTGTAAGGTAAGCTGATCCTAATCCTTGAGCTTAGGCCAAAATTCTACACCTGCTGTGTTCTACTACTTAATACAGTAGTCACTAGCTATATGGGGGCTATTTCAGTTTATAAGTGTTAAAAGTTGATTTGCCTGGATTGTAGCTTACTTGGCAGATTGCTTACTTAGCGTGCATGAGGTTCAGGGTTCTCAACCCTTGGGTGCTGAATAAACTGGGCATGGTGTACACCTGTAATTACAGTGCTCAGGAGGTGGGGGGGGTCAAAAGTTCAGCCTTATCCTCTCCTATACCCTCTCAAAGAACTCATAGTTCTTCTCACAGAACTGTTTCTGCTCGTGTCTGGAAATAGGGTGTCCTTTTTTCTTTTTCCTCGAGAGAAAGTTTCATTCTGTAATCCTGATACCCGTGGAGTTAGTCCAGGACTGACCTCAGACTTGGTGAGGCAGTCCTCCTGTCTCCACCTCCAAAATGCTGGGATCATAGATATTTATACCACCTTGCCTGAAGTTATAAAATGCTGGACTAAGAATTTAGGTCTCTGTGTAGACTAGCTAGTCTACAATGAGCTCCATCCTCAGCGCCAGTGTTTGTCAGGAGGTACAGGTTAATGCTACATGTGCCTATAGTGTTCAGTTTATTCCCTACTCGACTCCATCTTCTACTAATTTTGTTTATAATTTATTTATAACTGTCTGTCGTTCTCTTCCGTCCCCTCGCCCAGATCTTATGGATCCCAGGTGACCTCAGACTTGCAGTGTGACAGAGGATGACTATTTATTGGTCCTCTTGTCTCCATCTCCTAAGTGCTGGGATCACAGGTGTCTATCACCTCACACAGCATCATTCTTCTCTCTTTATAAACGGTTACAGGGGGAAAATTGTGTTATCCTGAAAATACCACAAAGGTACAATGATCTCAATGTGAGGTTTTAGCTAAAATGTAGACTTAAGTACCGTCCACAGACTTGTCTCTTAGTAAGGATGTTAAAGGTCTGGATTTGTTACCATACACTGTATATTATAGTAGGACTTAGTAGGCCTTTTGTTGTTGTTGTTGTCTTATTAAATTTTGAGCTGATGGTGGTGGTTCACACCTTTAATCCCAGCACTTAGGAATCAGAGGCAAGTAGATCTCTGTGAGTTCAAGGCCAGCCTGGTCTACAGAGCAAGTTCTAGGACAACCAGAGGTACACAGACAAAATCTGCCTTATTTTCCCCTCTCCCCCCTAAAAAATGTTGTCTTGGTAAGTCATTGAGGCTGCTGTGTAGACCAAACTGGTTTCAAGCTGTTGTAGCTAGGATTGTATTCTAGACAGTCACCACCACACCACACCTAATTTAGGCTTGAATACTTTTTAAAATCAATATTATATATTCTCATTTGATTCCCATAATAACACTATCAGGGAGCTACTGTGGCTCTCATGTTATGAGCACTTGCTGCTTCTCCAGACACCTACTTTGAGCAGCTCACAGTTCCCTATGACTCCAACTTCTGGGGGATGGGTGTAAGACCTCTGGCCTCCATGGGACCTGCTCTCAGGTGCACGTACCCACAAACACACATATGCTTATAATTTTTTGAAATGAAATAAAGGGCTGGAGAGATGGCTTGGTGGCTAAGCACCTGTTGCTCTTATGGAGGACCTGGGTTTATTTCCCAGCACATGGTAGTTCACAACCATCTATAACTCCAGTTCCAGGAGATCCAGTCCCCACCTTCTGACCTCTGGACACCAGGCACACATGTGGTGCACAGATGTACATGCAGGCGAAACACTTGCTACATAAAATTGAAAACAAAAACCTTTTATGTATTGAGTAAGTTACTTAAACTAAAGCTAGTAATTCCTGTTTCCTGCTCTAATTCTTTGAGTGACCAGCGGCTGATTCACTGATACTGAACCTGTCTCTGTTTCCTAGGTCTCTAGCATCAATTCACGTTTTGCCAAAGTACACATCTTGTATGTGGGGTCCACACCACTAAAAAATGCTTTTCGAGGAACTATCCGGTAAGATGTATTCTTGTAATTATATTTGCCTCAGCACCAGAAGTGAGGCAAGGGTAGTGGGGAAGACTGGAGTTTATGGAGCAATTACAGTTTTTTCCTGCCCACTTGAGTCTCTCCTTGTGCTTTGCTTTTTGCCCCGCAGTATATCCAGAGAAAAAGTTGTATGAGCTATAAGAAATGAAAACTGTTAATCATAAAAGAGGGTTTTTTTGTGTGTTTTTTTTTTTTTAGGGTGAATCCAAATCTTTTTTTTTATTGATATTTATTGAGCTCTACATTTTTCTCTGCTCCCCTCCCTGCCTCTCCCCTCCCTGCCTCTCCCCTCCCCACTTCAGCCTTCCCCTAAGGTCCCCATGCTCCCGATTTACTCAGGAGATCTTGTCTTTTTCTACTTTCTGCTTCCCATGTAGATTAGATCTATGTAAGTCTCTCTTACTGGGTCTTGAGGAAGGTTGTTTCCTAATTTTCTGAGAAATCGCCACACTGACATCCAAAGGGGTTGTACCAGCTTGCCTTCCCACCAGCAATGCAGAAATATTCCCTTTTCCCCACAACCTAAAAGAGGATTTTTAAATAATGCAAAAGGGGGAGCTAGTGATATATCTCAGTTGATGGAGAAGCCCTAGATTAGATCATCAAGAATAATAAAATTTGGCCAGGCAGTGGTAATGCATGTCTTTAATCCCAGCACTTGAGAGGCAGAGGCAGGCAAATCTCTGTGAGTTCGAGACCAGCCAGATCTATAGAGTTAGTTTCAGGACAGGTTCCAAAGGTACACAGAGAAACCCTGTCTTTACAAACAAACAAAAAGAAAGAATGTCATAATTCTTATGTGGTGGCACTTGCATGTAAAAACACCACCCAGAGATCAAGGCAGGAGGATGAGAAGTTCAAGAAAATTGTTGGCTATATAACAAGTTCAAGACTAGTGCGGGCTGCATGAGGTCCTGTCTCAAAAAGGACTGAGTTAGGAAACAACCTTCCTCAAGACCCAGTAATACCACTTTTGGGTATATATCCAAAGGATGCTTAATCGTGCCACAAGGTCATGTGCTCAACTATGTTCATAGCAGCTTTGTTTGTCATAGCCAGAACCTGGAAACAACCTAAATGTCCCTCAATCAAAGAATGGATAAGGAAAATGTGGTACATTTACACAGTGGAGTACTACACAGCAGAAAAAAATAACGACATCTTGAATTTTGCAGGAAAATGGATGGAACTAGAAAACATTATTTTGAGTGAGGGAACCCAGACACAGAAAGACAATTATCAAATGTACTCACTCGTAAGTGTTTTTTAAACATTAAGCAAAGAAAACTAGCCTACAAACCACAATCCCAGGGAATTTAGACAACAATGCGGACACTAAGAGAGACTTACATAGATCTAATCTACATGGGAAGTAGAAAGTATTAAAAGACAAGATCTCCTGAGTAAATTGGGAGCATGGGGACCTTGGGGGAGGGTTGAAGAGGGGAGGGAAGCAGAGAAAATGTAGAGCTCAATAAATATCAGTTAAAAAATGTATTTTAAAAAAGAGGTAATATATCATGTACCATATAATTGATAGTGAATAAGTCTAAGTTTGCTTGCCTTGAATGCTTGAAGCCCTGAAGCCCCAAATCCTTGGCATTACAAAAATTAAATAAATTAATAAATCTGTTACTCACTTAAAAAAAAAAAAGAACCGAGGAAAGCTGTGGACTAGCAGTGTCAGGATAAGCCAAACCAAACAAAGTAGAAGCTCCTTAGGAAGTACCTTCGTGTTCTTTTTTCTTATTATTTTGTTTTGTGTCCACGTGCTAACCCACATACCACAACAGCGCACATGTAAAGATCGGCACAACTTTGTGGAGTTGATTCCCTTCACCTTGATGTGGGTTCCAGAATCTTAGCTTGTCATCAGGCTTAAACAACAGGCATCTTTAGCCCCTGAGCCCTCTTGCCCACCCACTTTCCCCTCCCCGCCAAGACAGGGTTTCTCGGTAGCTTTGGAGCCTATCCTGGCACTCACTTTGTAGACCAGGCTGGCCTTGAACTCACAGAGATCCACCTACCTCTGACTCCCTGGGTGCTGGGATTAAAAGTGTGCACCACTACTGCCCAACCTTCACTTTAATTTTTTATTTTAATATTTAGTCCTGGCTAGTTTTGAACTCAGAAATTTACCTGCCTCTGCTTCCCATGTGCTAGGATTAAGATTATGCACTACAACGTAATTCTTATTCTTTAATATTGATTGAAACCAAAGGTTGTAAGAAAAAATTTGTGGAGAGGCTGGAGAGATAGCTTAGCAGTTAAGAGTACTTGTTGAGAGCAGGACTGAGCTCTGGTTCAGGTCCTGAGGTGGGGGAGGGGTGTTGGGCAGGAAAGATTCACCAGGTGAATTGTACTCAAGCAGCCCCAAATAGCTTTTTGTTTGTTTGTTTTTCGAGACAGAGTTTCTCTGTGTGACAGTCCTTGCTGTCCTGGAACTCACTTTTATAGACCAGGCTGGCCACAAACTCACAAGCGATCTGCTGGCCTCTGCCTCCTGAGTGCTGGGATTAAAGGGGTGCACCACCACCACCCAGTCCTATATTTGACTTTAAGAGATGCATATTTTAAGGAATGTGTCATGATCATTATGAAAGCGCTTATTGTTCCCCTTTATGCCTCCTCAAATACACCTTCCCAACCCCTACATAACCTTATTCTAGACATAAGCATTTTTGCAGACTGAGCTCAATTTTGAGCCAGGCACATCCTGCTCTTGAAGCACTTATATCAGCTGGCAGCTACTTGTGGTTACAAAGTTAAAATAATAGACGTGGGCACAGTGCTTTAAGGACAACAATATTCAAACCCAAACAGTTCTTTCATGTCTGCAAGATACGCTTTTATACGGTTCATTTTTCTAAAAGAGGGTCCCATGTCTCGATCTGTAAACGGCAGACTCGATAAGGCACGCTTCCCGTCTCACTACACCATAGTTCTTCCACCAATAGAAGACCCTGTGTATGGTAAAAATGGATCTGTCCATTCATACTTTACATCGCATTTTCCCCATTGAATCATGTATCACTGATTCTGTGTGTTGTTTTCCAAGGATCTTACTCTCAACAGTTGGCACTGTGTGTATCCCTGAGACTTCTTCCTCTCTGCGCATGCATTCTCTCCTCTCCTTTCCCAAACTGTGAGACACTGATAATGTTCTGAGTGCTGTTTTCTCATATGTACCTAACTGTCTCGATTGAGTCAGAAACGTTCCCAGCAGTAGGAGTTGCAGTTAGTTCCAGATAAGAGATTTGAGAAGTATTAGCTCCCTTCTGAAGCTTGGAGGAAAATATTTGAGAAAGAACAGAATTTCCAGGGAAATTGCAGCTGTTGTGCATGTGACTGACAAAGGAAAACTGAAAGCCGCCCAAAGCATCACCAGTGTAATGAGAGAGAATAGAGCCACAAGCTGCACAAATTTTACAAATTTCAACCCTGTCTCATGGACTGTCGGTCCTTGCCAAGTGAGAGTCTTTTTTCCACAGGCACCTTGTCTGGAGGAAACCCACTGGCCAGGTATGTGCTGATCCGAGACTAGGCTACCAACCTTCCAGCACTAAGGAAGCAGAGGCAGGCAGATCTCTGTGGGTTTGAGGCCAGTCTGGTCTACAAAGCAAGTTCCATGGCTGTTACACAGAGAAACTTTGCCTCTAAAAACAAAACAAAACAAAAACAAAAGAGTATTTTTGCTCTTCGAATTACCCACTTGGTTCTCCAGTTCTGGGGGACCAAACAAGCATGCTAAAAAAGAAAAAAAGAAAAAGTTTGTGGGTAAAATGGTAGCTTGTTGTGTGGGCTTCATTGAAAAGAAACAATTATAGGATAAGTGAATTTATTTGTTTATTTATTTATGGCAAACATCCTATAGTCGGACTGTACTTAAATTCCATATGTAGCCACAAATGACTTTGAATTTCTGATATTCTTTTCCATTGTCAAAAGTTATCAATACTATTGTTCTATATTTTCCAAGAAAAGGTAAGTGTTTTGTTATGCATGTTGCTGGGGATCCAGTATGACCTATTCTCTTTTATTATTTCCTAGGAGACTCAATGGGAAATTCTTTCCCAAGATAACTAATTTTTCTTTTTTCTTTTTACATAGCAAGGAAGATATCCGAGCAACTGAAAAAGACAAGGTTGAAGATTGGTGGTTTGGGTGTTTGTTTTTGTGGGTTTTTTTCTGATTTTGTTCTTGTTTTCCTATGACTCTAAGAATTTGCTTTAGCTAGGCAGTGGTGGCTCATCCCTTTGATCCCAACACTTGAGAGGTAGAGGCAGGTGGATCTCTGTGAGTTCAAGTCCAGCCTGGTCTACAAAGTGAGTTCCAGGACAGTCAGGGCTATTATATAGAGAAACACTGTCTCGAAAAAAATCAAACAAACAAAAAAAGAATTTTGCTTTGAAAAATATTATTCTCAAGACTGGATAAACGACTTGGACATTTAAGAGCACTTGCTGTTTGTCCTGAGAAATCAAGTTCTGTTCCCAGCCCTCACGTGCTCATAAACCCCTGTAATTTCAGCTTTGGGGGACCTGATACCTGTTCTGGCTTCTACTGGAGCCTCCATGCATGTGGTACACATACATACATTTATGATGAATAAATCTAAGTGATGGATGGGTGAGTAGATAGTAGCCAGGAGTGGTAGCATATGCTCACCTTTAACTCCAGCACTCAGGAGCAGAGACAGGTAGACCTCTTGAGTTTGAGGCTAACCTAGACTACATAATTAGTTCCAGCTAGGCTGGGACTATAAAGTGTGACCTTATCTAACAAACAAACAAGAAAGGAACTATTATCCCAGGGAATTTCAGAAATCCATAGGAATGTAAAGTGTAAGGACTTAACAGCATTTCTTGCTATAACATGAAATTCAGATCACTGTCCCTTCTTCCCATACAAGATTTTTCTCATTCAGTTGACCAAAATGGTTAAGCTGTTATCACTAAAATTATTAGCCAACCATGACGGTGCATGGCTTTAAAATTTCACTGCTGAGGCGGCAGAGGCACCCCTGTGCATTTAAGGCTGGCCTGATCTACAGAACAGGTTTACTAGGGCTACATAGGAAGACTCTCTCCAGAAAAACAGTAAATGATTAAGAGGTCTTATTAAGCTAGGGAGATGGGCAAGTGCCTGCTGAACAAGCATAAGGACCTATGTTTAGATCCCTGGCCACCATGTAGAGAGTGAGTGTATAACCCAAGCGCTAGGGTGGAGGATATGGAACAGGAAGCTCCCCAGAGTTGAGATTCATTCAGTAAGAGACCCTGGCTGAAAAAATAAATCGGAACCGAGCTTAATTAATTAATAGTTCGCACCATTAATCCCAGCCCTTGAGTGGCAAAGGCAGGCAGATCTCTATGAGTTCAAGATTGCCTTGGTCTACATAGAAAGTTAGGAAAGCCAGTGCTACAGAGAGAGAGAGAGAGACCATGTTGAAAAATAGAATAAGATTGGGAGCCACCAAGGAAGACACCACGTATGACCTCTGACTTCAACACAAATACACACCCTCATGCATGAGTATATATACTCTACACATACAAACTTTATTATTGTGAGATAGGATCTTGCCCAGACTGCCTTTGAAACTGGGTGTTTGTTCATTGCTCTCAGTCTTCACAGGCCATATAGTACCTTTGTATGAGTCAGATTCCTAATCAAGTTACTAAATTCAAATTCTCTCGTTTATATGATGATACTGAAACAATAAACATTTGAATTGACATAATGATGACACCTCCCCCCTGGGGTTAGAAATGGGCTGGCTCTACTTGGTGGTAGTATTTTATGTAGACATAATTCACTTATTCCTGTTTGGTTTTTTGCAGGTTGAAATTTACAAGAGTTTCCGCCCAGGTGACATAGTTTTGGCCAAAGTTGTATCCTTTATTATATCACATTTCTGGCTTTTTTGTCAAAAGAAATGGAAGAAGTGGCACTAGTACTTGGGAGATGAAGGCAGGAGGATCGGGAGTTCAGGTATTTTTTTAAAAATGGTATTAAAAGAGGGAAGGGAAGGAAGGTGGCAGAAGGCGGCAGCACGTACAGCCTCTCATTTTCCTTCACTGGCACTGTATGACTAGATCTCCCTAGGGGATGCACAGTCCAATTACCTGCTGACCACTGCTGAAAATGAGTTAGGGGTGGTGGTAGCCCACAGTGAATCAGGTAAGTTGTTTCCCTGGGAACCATGGCTATCTAGGAAGGAATAGGGATACACATACATTTGATATGGAAAACTATTTAATCAATTATAGGTATCACATACCATAATGGGTCCCATAGAATTGTAACTCCCAATGCTAAAGATTAGCTCAGTAAGAGAGCATTTCCTTAGTATTCATGCAGCCCTGGATCCAGTCCCCAGCCTCACCCCACTTATCACCCCCAGCCCCAAGAAATCACAAGATAATGTTACCTAGTGGTGTAGCTGTATGAGTACACTTAGTGTGTGTGAGTACACACTGATTTTGTCCAGTGTTTAGGTCTTATTTCTCAGAGCATGTCCCCGTTGTTGAACAACACATAGCTTGGTTTAATAAGATTATAGTGATTATATGTCAGAATAGGTAAGTGCCCCCTTATATCATGGAATGAATGAGGCTTTTTCCCTTAATACTAGGGCTGAAACCCATGGTCTTTCATATGCTAAGTAAGCATTCTACAGCAGAGCCACGCCCTCATGTCTAGCTGAAAAGAAAAGAGCCTCAGCAGAATCTCTGGAGTCACACCTCCAACACCAGCTTTTATCTTTCTCCTTGTAGGTGTCCAGATGGTTCCCATCAGCTGGTGTGAGATGCAGTGCCCTAAGACCCACACTAAAGAATTCCGGAAAGTGGCTAGGGTACAGCCTGAGTTCTTACAAACCTAAGCACACGTCCCCTCAAAGACGGAGCCACCTGTTTCCAAGAGTACCGGTATGAAAAGAACATCAAGATGCCACGGTCTTTATTAAGGATTCTACAGTTACCTAGCAACCACCTCTTGAAAAATCTGCCAGAAATAAGTTTGTGTTTTAATGAGCACCCAAGGCCTATGCAGCTGAGACAGGAAGATTTTTAGTTCCCAAGTGTGAGTATAGCCTAGGCTACATAGTAAGACTCTTTCAACCAAAATATAAAACACTATTCTTGGGAAACAGTGATTTTTATTCTCTTGGCTGGTGTTTGCATTCAGCAAACAAAACCATGTAATACTGGAAATATCTTATGCCTTCTTTATAAATATGTATATATGTATTTGCTATGACTGGTAAAAAAAAATGCTTTTCACTTGTTAGTGGTATAGTTTCTTTGGCGGGGGGGGGGTGTTGAGACAGGATTTCTCTGTGAAACAGTCTTGACTATCCTGGAACTAGCACTGTAGACCAGGCTGGCCTTGAACTCACAGATACTCTCCTGCCTCTGCCTCCCAAGCATGTACCACCACTGCCCTGCCTGGTATAATTTCCTTGTGTGTGTGTGTGTGTGTGTGTGTGTGTGTGTGTTAGGGGACCAGGCCCAGCTTTTCTTGTGGATGCTTGGGATTTGAACTCAGATGCTCGGGGTTGGATGACAGTTGCCCTTACCTCTTAAGCCATCTCTACAGCCCCTGCTGTCACTATTTAAAAGATGAATATGCAGTGAACTTTCTCATTGTTTTGTTTTGTAGTGTGTGTGTATGTGTGTGTGTGTGCACCACATGTGCCTCTGGAAGCCAGAAGAGTACATTGGATCCCCTGGAACTGGATGTGAGCCCCCAAAGTACTCCTAATTACTGAGCCATCTCTCCAGCTGCCAGTCTCCAGCCGCTAGTCTCTGGTTTGATGTTTGAGGCAAGATCTGACTATTTTATGTTGACCAAGTTGGCCTCAGACTCAGAGATTTACCTGCCTCTCCCTCCTGAGTATTGGGATTAAAGACATGCACCACCACACCCAGCTTCCAATCTCAGTGTGTGTGCTGTGTCCCAAGTGGTTCAGCCTAGGGACCAGCCACTGGATCATGCACTTTATCTAAACCCCTCAATAGCATGGTTAGTGAAAACTCTTGGGCATGTGTGGTGATTAATTGTATGTAGCAGTTCTGAAAATGTTTGATGAACATAGTGTTACTGTGACAGGTGTCCCAGGAACTGTCAGCTCTGCCCCGAGAGACATCACTGCCGTGTGAGATGGTCAGGGGAGGATCAGACAAGACCAAAGCAGTTGTGAAGACATTAGGTAAGGGTGAAGTTGCTCCTTGCAGACAGCACCCTAGCAAGTGCGGAACCAAAACCAAAGCCTAAGTTTTGTGAGGAGGGAATACTAGCTATGAATTAAGCATGAAGAAATTGCACAGGGATGGCTCTTGCTGACATGTCCAGGACCCTGTAAACTCAGTGTGGACTTTGTCAGTAGTGGAGGTGAGCTTTGGGTACAGGCCCACCTGGTCTTGTGATCTCCATAGTTGTTAACTTCCAGCTAATTAGTATTTTTCGTTTAGTTTATCTTTTTAAAGAACTATTTAGAGTGTGTGTGTGCTGTGTGTTTAAGTGTAGGCACGTGTGTGGAGGTCAGAGGGCAGCTTTGGAACATCAGTTCTGTCTTACCTAACTTTGGTTTTTGTTTTTGATCAGATGGCCTTTAACTTTTTTGTCTAACTGCATCATATGTGCACGAGTGTGGCCACAGCGCATATGACACAGCGTGGGGAAGGGGGTCAAAGGCCAACCTGGTAGAGTCAGTTCTCTGCTTCTGCCTTTCTGTGGCTTCCAGAGGGCAAACTCAAACACCTAACTGCTGAGCTGTCTCACTGACCCCCACCTTGTTTGTGGTGGGGGAGGTCCATCTTTCTTGTTTCTGCTACATGTATGCTCTAGGCTAGCTAGCCCAACGAGCTTCCAGTTCTGTCCGTCCCCACTTCATCTCACTGGAGGACTGCTGGCGTCACGGATTCATGCTTGGGTTCTAGGGATCAAACCCAAGTCTGGCTTGTGTGGCAGTCTGTTTACTTGCTGAGCTTCTCTCCAGTCCATTTCTGTTTCCTTCATTCCTAGCTGTCCTAGAACTCGCTTTGTAGATCAGAGTGAGACCTCGAACTCACAGAGATCCTCTGCCTCCTGACTGCTGGGGATTAAAGACATGCACTGCCACCACCGGGCCATTTAAAAAATAATAATAAGGGACTGGAGAGATGGCTCAGTGGTTAAAAACACTGGCTGCTCTTCCAGCAGACCCTGGTTCAGTTTCCAGCACCCACATGGCAGCTCACAGCTGTCTGTAACTCCAGTTCCAGGGAACCTGCTACTCATGGCAAAATGCCAATAAACATAAAATAAAAATAAATCAATAAATGATAATAATTGTTTATTTTATATATGTACATATGGAAGTCATAGGTCAGTTTGGTAGCAGTCAGTTCTCTGCTTCTACCCGTGTCTAAGTCATCAAACTTGGGTTGTCAGTCTTGGCCTTAAGCGCCTTTATCTGCTGAGCCATCTGACCCACCTGTTTATGCCCAAAGTGGCACACTTGGAAGTCTAACATTTAGGAGACCTCGGCAAGAAAAGCACAGGTTAAGGCCAATCTAGGCTACAACAGTAAAATCATCTCAAAAATATTATTTTTTAGTGAATTAACGATAAGTCCTGCCTTACGGTTTCTATTTGTAACATGAGGGGGCCAGCTTGTTGGGGTTTCTGTCCCGCCCGGTACCCCACAGCCGGCAAATCCCAAAGAGAAATCACACACAGGACTCCATAAGGTTATAAACTGATTGGCCCATTAGGTCAGGTTTCTTGTTAACTCTTATAGCTTATATTAACCCATTATTCTCACCTATGTTAGCCACATGGCTCAGTACCTTTTTCAGCTGGGCAGGTTACATGCTGTCTCTTCGGTGGTCTACACAGGAATGGCTGAGGGAGCTTTATCCTCCCTAGCCTTATCCTATTCTCATTGCCCTGCCTGGCCAATCAGCGTTTTATTAAAATACATGATTGACAGAATACAGACAATTCTCCCACACCATCTATTGCTGTGACAAAACATCATGACCAAAAACAGGTTGCGGAGGAAAGAGTTGATTCAGCTTTCACTTCTGTCACTGGTCATCATTGAAGTAAATCAAGACAGAAACTCGGGGCAGGATCCTGGAGGCAGGAGCTGATGCAGCGGTCATGGAGGGAGGGATGCTGCTTACTGGTTTGCTCATCGTGGCCTGCTTAGCCTCTTTCTTAGAGAACCCGGGACCACCAGCCGAGGGATGGCCCTGCAGTGTGCTGGGCCCTCCTCCATCAATCACTAATTAAGAAAATGCTTACATCTAGGTCTTATGAGGACATTGTTTTTCCAGTTGAGGTTTCCTCTTTTCAGATAATCTAGCTATGTCAAGTTAGCATGAAACTAGTCAGGACAGGACCACATGTAGTGTGTGTTTGGGATTTGTTTGCTCTGCTGGGGATCAAACTCGGCCCTCACACATGCTTAGCAATGCTTTGCTGCTGGGCTTGACCCAACACATTTGGAGTCCTAGGATCCAAGCCCAGAATTGGAAACAGAAAGCTTTTTGTACCTTTGATCTAGTTTCCCACATTGGTGAGACTTGCAGAATTTTAATATATTGGGCTGGAGGCTCAGAGGTGAATATAGAAGGGAGGAGAAGAGAAAATAAGGTCAGGCATGCTGCTACAGAGCTTTGATCTCAGTTCTCAGGAGGCAGAGGCAGGAAGGTGTTGGAGTTGGAAGCCAGCCTGGTCTACATCATGAGCCTGGAAAGGCTCAGCACTTGAGAGCACTTGCTGCTCTTGTAGAGGACCCGAGTTCAGTTCCCAGCTCCCATATGGTGCCTCGCAACCATCTGTAACTCCAGTTCTAGGGCACCCAAAGCCCTCTTTTGACTGCTGTGGGCACCAGACATGTATATGGTACACGTATGTACGTGTATTTTCCACACATGTAAAATAAATATTAAAAAAGAATTCTAGGTCAGTCTGGGCTATTTAAGACTTTGTCTCAAAAAAGAAAAAAGGAGCAAGAGTTCAAGGTTAGCCTCAGCTAAAGTAAACTCAGTGCCAGACTGGATGACGGGGGAACCTGTCACAAAGCTGTACTGTTGGGTGTTGACACTGAGAGCCGTGATAGTTTCACCTCTCTGTGTTTAATTAGAATCTCAAGGATATTTTGAAGGGTAGATAAAATTGCTCTGAGCATGCTAATATGGTAGGTCATTGTATTTGTAAAGTATCTGATGCATCAAATCTATAATATCGGGAGGAAGCTTACGTAGTTTTTCTTTATGCATGCCCAATTACTTTGCAGAACTGATCCCTTGAAGTACATTTCTTAGCATCAGTTTTACATTTCTCTTTATTTCTGAACTTCAGTGACCCCGGACTGTAGCACTTGCTCATCATCTTACAGATGTGTAAAACAAGGTTTAGGATGATAATTTTAGGTTGGGCTGTGGTGGCACAAATCTTCAATCCCAGCACTTGGGAAGCAGAGGCAGGTAGATCTGAGTTTGAGGTCAGCTTAGTCTACAGAGTGGGTTCTGGTACGGCCAATGCTACACAGTGAAACCCTATCATAAAACCCAAAGAAAAGACAGGCCTAGGGATGTGCTAATGGCTCAGCTATGTGAGTTCTATCATCAGCACGAAGTGTATGGATACAAAGCAGAAGAGCCTGCTGTGTATTAGTTTCAGTTCCCAACACTGCAAGGAAAGACAGAACTAGAAAGCCCTTATGTTCACCTAACCAGTATATAGTGTGAATTCTACACGCCCTTAATCCCAGCACTCGGGAGACAGAGGCAGATGGATCTCTGAGTTCAAGGCTAGCCTGGTCTACAAGAGCTAGTTCCAGGACAGCTAGGACTGTTACACAGAGAAATCCTGTCTCAAAAAACCAAAATAATAATAATAATAGTAATACAAACTCAGGGACTGGAGAGATGGCTCAGCAGTTAAGAGCACTGACTGCTCTTCCAGAGGACCTAGTTCAATTTCCAGCAACCACATGGTGTCTCACAACCATCTGTAATGAGATCTGGTTGTCCTCTTCTGGCCTGCAGAGATGCATTGCAGCCAATCACTACAAATGCTCAGACCAAGGGGTGATCCTGTCCTCAGACTGAATGTCTCCACTAAACCTGTCTTTTCTCACCTTACATTCCTCCCTCCACCTCTCTAGTGCTGGGATTACAGGCATGGGACTCCCAAATACTGGGCTTGAGAAAGGTGAGCCAATACCACCTGGCCTCTAGTGATTTAGCCCTATACTCTGATCTTCAAGCTTTATTTGCTAAAACAT